GTTTTAACTTTATAATAATGTTTTCTTCCATTGTTTTTTATAAGAAACTGGATATGGATTCGTTGTTCTCACATGAATTTTCACCAGCACCATTGTCATTATGTGATAGTCAAAACTGCAACTTATTAAACCAACAACGGAAATCAGAAGCATTAACCTTATTTGAAGAAAATTTTTCACAATGTTTTTCCACAAATGATCCAACCACATTAGGCGGTAAATGGGCATTGATTATTGATGGTGGTCCTATGTTAGAAACTAAACCATTAAAATTAAATGGTACTGTTATGGATTATGCCAGGCAACTGTTGACGAATAATGTTATTCCAGAATTTAACAAGTATGATCGAATCGATATTGTATTTGATTCTGATCGAAGTAAAAACATAAAATCTTTTACCAAACGTCATGGATATGATAGCAAGATATCTCAAGAATATGATCTAAAAGAGAATGATATATTGGATTCTTCAAAATTTCATGAATTTGTTCATAGTAATCGAGCAAAATTAGCAAGTGCTGTTCGTTCTTGTTGGTCACAAAATGTGCTTACTGATTTACTGCCTCTTAATAAACATTTGATTATAGCCGGTCCACAACAAACTACCATCAGGCTAATTAATAATAAATTTTCACAATCAATGCAATCAGTTGAAACATTAGTTATTTTGGAATCTGACCACGTTGAAGCTGATACTCGTATATTTTTACATGTTTATGATGTTGAGCTTGATAATGACAAAGGGAAATTCAATGGTATTGTTATACAATCAATTGATACCGATGTTTTCATTCTAGCATTAGCACATGTGAAGTTAATGATGTTACCTAACTGTTATGTTAGGAAGTTTAACTCATCTACAAAACTGACATCATTTATCAATATAAAAGCAATCGGTTGTTTATTACGAATTAAATGGAACATTACCGAACCAACTGTACTTTTAGTATTGCATGCGCTATCAGGGTGTGATTCGACATCATTTACACGAAATATTACAAAAAAGACTTATTTCAATACCTACTTATCGAATCCAGATCAATTTCAGCATTTACTCGAATTTGGCGAAGAAGGCGAAATTACAAGATTGCCGATGAAAGCAGCAGAGGACTTACTGATTTCGTGTTATACTAAATCGAGAGGTTACAAATCATTATTGGCAAAAACAGCTCCATCATCATCGACACATACTGTATCATTGAACTCTTTACGGCAAAATTTGGCGATTAAATATTGCAAGAATCAGACGACGGATATATGTATAAAACTTCCACCAACATCCGAATCATTTCAGCAACATTGTAAACGTGTATGGAAACAAGTGTTTATTTGGAAAAAAACATTTGAACCATTCGACTTAATTAGTTGTTATCCGATTGAAGATTATGGCTATGATCGAACAAACAATAACGAATTGATCATTCGATGGTTCACAAACTCAGAATTACCAAATCATTTGTCTCTCAGTCGTTGTGTGAAATGTACATCTGGCTGTCAACGATGCAAATGTGCTGCAAATAATCTATGTTGTACTCCTCTGTGTGGATGTTCATCTGGTGAATGCACTAACCGTACGACTATACAAGTAAGATCGTGCCTATTTATTTTCTATGATAAAACCATATTAATCGAATATTTTCATTGTAGGTTATGAAAAAATCAACAGAAGCAACAAAAGAAAACTCGAAACCTGTCATTCGGAAAATACTGACATTTGATGATACTTTCGATGACTACGACGATGACAGTGAAACAGATGTTTATATTCAAAACAATAATTGTATTGACGCCGTAGATGGCGAATATGACGATGACGGAATTGATGATACAATGCAATCTATGTATGATAACTACGTGAGTACTACCTGTACTTCTTTAAAAAATGTTTTTATCGTGATGTCTACTTAACTAGAGCGATGCCGGTTCTGATAGATCATTCTATGACAGTTATTTGGATAGTAATGAGAGTGAATCTGATCTGCTCAATTTATCGATTACTAGTGACCATAGTTACTGTTATCAATCAACACCATTTGCACCAAAATGTTCTGCTAATGCACAAAATGCTGTCGCATCATCAACTGTACTACGACAAAATGATTTCAATCCTTTTCAAAATCAAATTTCACCAATTAGTTCACACACAAGCTCAAGAAAATTAAGTACCACAACAACGGTAAATTAGCACCTTAATCGTACTTAAAAAGAAAATCGAAAATTCGTTATCTAATTCTAACTTTAGAACTCTAACGGAGTAAATACAGTATTAAAACCGATGAAACGAAAACCAAATTTCAGCGCTAATACATCTGCACAAAGTACACCGAGTCAGGTAAAATTGATTTTAAAAAAGGTACACAGATTCGGTTCATAATATTTCCATCTTTTCAGATTATTTCACGCAAAAAGAAACTTTAACATATCAATCACATGCATATGGCTTTTTCTTAGGTGTTACATTATATGCTTTTTATAATTATATTTACCAGGAGTATTATTTTATTATATCGTTTATTATAGATGTTTATTTTATTATTTCTATTTTTTATATATTTTTCTCACCAATAAAATGAATATTTGTTTGCTAAGGCTTCAAAAAACTTCTTCAATTTCAATAGAGACACTTCAGAAAAAAAGAAATGCTTGCCAATTGCACTCTATCTCACTGTACTTTTAATGAAAATAAATCAAAATACATATGTAACAAAAATTAGATCTTCATAAGGAGCATTCCAAATGTAATTGTCAATTCATACATCATCACTCTCGTTTCTCTGGCAATAACCTCTTTCATGGTGCACTGTTAGTTAAATAGCTATATTCTCATCATAAATTTGTCGCAGAAACTCATAAAAAAGCGAAAGAATCTCTTTCGTGCAAAAACTTTTAGAAAACTCTTTTTCGAGATATAGAAATATAGGGGTCACTAGTGCGAACTGCATCTGATATTAATTGCACGAAAGAAACGACTTTTTGTCCGGCTGACAATACACCAAGACAAGAAGAGAATCAGTTTCTTTCTCCAGTGAAGTTGGCGAAGGATTGTAGAAAAACGCTGATTAGTCGTTCCGTACAACCAATTGGGTATTTTCTTGAAAAGCATCGACTACAATGCCCAGACCGAAAAAAATTCAATATAATCGCTGTCATTTCATTCGAATTTATACATGTCGAACGTTAACCAGCGTCGTCCTCGTTTACCATATCAAAATAACTATTCTCCATGGCAAACACCTCACGAACAGCAGAATCTACAGTCGCCACTTCCATTACTTGTTCCAGCACCTAATATACCGACGGCACACGGTTTTACCCCTCGATATCCATTGAATCAACCTCGTAAATTTGTTTTTTTTAATATAAAAACTCACATCGAACGAATTCTTTTAGTCGAAAAACATTTACCATATCGATTGTGGTCCAATACAACTTATCAGGATGTTTTCCATCGTGATCATCATGAACATTTTAAGTTTCATCTTGTTTGCTATAACATCTTATCGCAGAACTTACTGGAAAATAATTCTTTTCTGTACCAAAATTGTTACAAGAACAATTTGAAATGGTACAAACGGAAAAATCGATTATTGAGAGAATTGTTACGACAAGATGCTGATGTAAATTTCATTTCATTTGCAGACTGAAAACAAACTATTCACTTGGTTTTAGATTCTCTGTTTACAAGAAATGCAAGTTGATCATTACGAAACTGAATTCCGACCAGCATTGACGCAAGAAGGTAAGCAGATAAAACATCATTTCATATTACGTTAGTTTCTTGTGTGTTAAGGATACGATTCCATTTATATAAAACGGAGCGGCGATAAGTTTGATGGCTGTTGCTTATTTTACCGGCGAAATCGTTTGAAATTGGTTGATAGTAAAGCTGTTTCATTCTATCGAAGCGATGTTCGAATATTAAACAAGTAAATAGAATACATAAATTGACTCCACGATTATTTCTATGAATTCTAGAGATAACTGTGGTTTGATTGCATTATTTCAGCCATTAACACAAAATGCTAGCGAACATGACCTGTTTTGTGTTGCTACAACTCATTTATTATTTTCTCCGAAACGTGGTGATATTAAACTCGCACAAGTGCAATATTTTCTTGCTGAAATCGATCGACTGGCATCAAAACCTGACGAACCCAATCTTCACTATCCGATTATTCTCTGTGGTGATCTGAATGCTCAACCTCTATGTCCATTAATCAATTTTCTACTCAGCGGATATCTCCAATACAATAGTTATACGTGCAAACAAATCTCAGAGTCAATGTTGGCTTTGACGATGAACAATTCGTTTTCTTACCCGTTACCATCTCAAGAACTCCTTCCATCGTCCTTCGTGACTTCTGACTGTCGTTTTCCGTCCGTGGAATTTCACAATCCAACATTTGGTGTCCTAACTCATAATAAACAATTCGTATCCGTTTACGATTTGAATGATTTGTCGAGTGTAACATCCGGTGTGACAGATGAATCAAAAACAGTTGACTATATTTTTTATTCTCAACAAAACAATGACCCATATCGGCTGAATCTATTGAGTCGTTTGAATTTGTATAATCAAAATCAAATGGTTGATGTTCATATACCCAACCACCAGTTCCCTTCAGATCATTTTCTATTGGGTGCTAAATTTGCTTTAAAATTAAAACAGTGATAATTGTCTTTTTCTGTGATAAATAAATACATATATACCTGAAAGAATATCGTCTTGTGATAAAACAATTTTTTATTGTAGAATGCTTTCCATACGTCTTTCAACACTATTTCGGCGAACGCCATTTTCTCTAATCCGTTCGGCGCATTCTAGTCGTCTTGATCTTGATCAATTACTCGAACGACTCGATGGGGAAGCCCATCGTCGTGGTCGATTGAATCCCGGTCTCGTCCGCGGTGCCATGCATAAAGCAGCTGTCGAACTAAATGCACTCAATCCCACTCAAGCTCTCCTTCTCATTCGCTGCATGGGCTCTTTATTAATCAGTGAATTACCCTACCAAAGACAACAAGTACTCGATTATATGATGAAAACCTTTAAACAAAAACACGTGTCATTCGATGTCACTCACTACAATTCATACATGCGTGTTTCACTACAAAATAATCATTTTTTCGATCCAATGAAAGTTTTAGACGAGATGAAACAGATGCACATAGCACCGAATTTGACCACGTTTCGATTATTGATTGAATGTTATGCAAAACAAGGTCGATCCGATGAGATACAAAAAGTTCTGAACGAAATGAAAACGTCGAAGTTCAATATCGAACCAGTGACGTTAACCCATTTATTAAGTTCTTACGCAGAGAAAGGTGAAGTGGAACGCTTGGAAAATATCTTCAAACTGTTCGATGAACTACAATTGAAACCTATATCTGAAACTTACGAACAATTCGTTACTGGGTATTTGATACAAGGAAATGTCGACCAAGCAAAGAAATACTTTGTTGAAAATTCGTCAAAAATGGATAATGATACGTTATTCCGATTGATTATTAAATGTGCACAATGCCGACAGAAAGATCTATTCGAATTAATCATTCAATCAATTGATAAGAATAGTTTAGCAGATATTTGTGTAAGACTATTGCATCCGTCAGAAAAAAAACTACTCTTGTTTTCTTGTAGGTCCAATACATTCTTTGTGCAACTGAATTGCTTGATGCTAATCTCGATGATTACGCATTTCTTCTCGTTGATTCGTTTCCAAAACGTGATGAAACTCTTCGTTTCGATGTGATTAATCTGACTCTATTGAATCTACTGAAGCTTCGTTTACCAGCACATCATTTTCGTCCGTTTTCGACCCTGACACTTGAAGATATTCGCAATCATTCCGATTGTAAGTGAACATCTCTCTTTTCTTGTCTATCTCACATTCTTTGTATTAATTCAGCTTCAATCAACTACAAATGCGAACGCGAATCGGTCACCAAAGATCATCTGAACAACTTTCGACAATCTGTCCTCAAACGAGCTGTTAATTTCAGTGAAAACAAAGATCGCTGGCTTGCTGTTCATCAACTACTTTACCATGCATATCAAAGTCACCTTCCTCTTGCATACATCTATGCAATTTATGATACAATGCAGCAACAAAATTACGCCTACCGTCCTCACTATATCCGTCCAATGTTAATCAAACTTCAACGCATATTCGCTGGTAATAGTCAAGAAATGGTCAACAAGACGAGTCAACTTTTAGGTTATTTACAAAGAAAATTCTCATTGAAATATGATAATGAAACATTAGAATGTATCATTGAACATTTCTTCGATCGTGCTCATTTGAATCCGTTGGAAACTTCTTTGATATTTAAAAAAGTCAATATTAATTTAAATAACACTTGGCAAAATCTTTATCTTTCAACATTGAAGCGAATTAATACCAATTTGTTAAACTCTCTTGTTGCATTCATTCAATCGAATAAAACCATTCGTTTTGAATATACACCGATCGTTCGCGAACAAACGATTCAAGCTGTCCAGTCATTAATCAATCAATTAAGTGTCAATCACACGAAAACGAACTCGAATGAGACATTCAATGAACTAAAGATCATCATAGATTTCGTTGAAACGTTAAACAAACGATTTGTTAAGAGTTCGGATGATATTATTCGGTTGAATGATGGTGTCTTAATCAGTATGATCAATTGGTTTTTGGAGAAAGACCGAAAACAAAGTATTGATTTATTGCGAAAGGTTTTCCAGTTATGCGAGCAACGTTCGCAAACGATTCCCTTGAGTAATCAAACGAAGGAGAAGATCTATCAACAATTAGGTAATATCGATTCTTACCAGCGCATTGATTAGTTTTGTTTTTAAGGTATGAAAACACCTGCCGAAGTCAATGACCAACTTCTGAATACCTTCCAAGGCAAACGAGAAGAAAAGTGTAGCGAAGTTTCATCATCCGATAGTGAAATATCCTTTGATGATAGTGGAGATATCTACATTAAATCAAGAAAAACTGCACGAAATTCAACGATTGAAGAACTTGAAGAACAATTAGTTGATTTGAAACGAAAAAACACGAATACAAGTGGAATAATTAGTAAATTATTAACAAAATATTGTGTCGAATGTTTGGATATCGAACGCACGCTGAGTGCACAAATGCGAGAATCGTATATGAAACGAATTGCCGAATTGGAAAGTATCTATTTCGATAAAACCAAAACATCCGGTTTTCCATCACTAGGTGTGATTGCCAGTTTAATTGATTATTGTAAGTAAAGCTTTTTCAAAAACTGCGCATTGAATGTGATCGCATTTTAGACTCCCGCGTGGACTTGAACCTTGATAAAGTGATTTCCTACATAAACCTATCGAATGAAATCGATCCGAAATTTAAATTAGATCCACATAAATCGATCAGCGTTGTTCGTTTACTCCTACATAAAGATTCTTTTGACAAAGCAATGGATTTACTGCAATCATTAGGACGATATGACACAGTTCCGAATTATATCTATCGTCGTGTACGAGATTTACTACTTGATGCGTATCGTATCCTTTCTTTCCAACAATTTCAAGAGTTAGCGAAGAAATTATTCGAAAAAAATTACGTAGATCCATCATCAATTGTGCTTTCATTACTCGTGCGCAAGTCTTATCAAGAAAATGGACCATTGCCAGCATTTGAAACTATCAAAAATCTTTTTGCTCAGTACAATAATCTCGTGGGAATATTTCCGATCATTCGCAAATTACTTCGAGATGATTGTACAGAAGAATTAAAACAGGTAAGTAAAGAATACAAGGGGAGACCCATTTCTTCATTTTTCTTCTTTTAGGTTTTGATTAAGATTGGTCAAATCCGCTCGCGGACTTATGCATATGAACAATTAGCCTTTGTCTTGATTCACGAACGTCGTTTAGCGGAAGCAATGAAAATCTGTCATCATATAAGTCGTGCGACATTCGAAGAACATTGTCAGCGGTACGTTCGGGAGCTATTTGCATTCCCTGCCGACTTCACACCTATTGATGAAGAATCCATCGCATCCAATCATCCGCTAATTAATGATATCTACGAAAGTAACCATGTTTTTGATATGAATGCAATTTCACTTGTTCATTTTCTTGATTACATTGAGCAATATCCATTGAATGCTCGACAATTATCGATTGATACTTTATTCTTTAGTTTATTCAAATCATATGAGAAAATCAATCGATTAGATGAGTTTACGAAATTAATGCGTGAACATTCATCGAAATATGCAGGACATTTATCATCGAAAACAAAAGATGCACTCAGTCAAGCCGGAATCACTCTACCAATCAAATCATTATCTTCGCCTAAACAATCAATGAAACGTTCTCATAAATACGAAAGATTTCTCCATGATCATGATTATGAACAAGATTCTTCCACGTAATCAAAATTGAGTCTAAAAAATAGTTTTTGTTTGTTTCTAGATTACACTTTATCTCTTGTGTATGTTCACATCCCTACTAAAACACCAATCCAATCGATTCATCCAAATTCTCACTAGACAAGCTTCGAATATGACTGGAGTACAACTGAATACCGTTATCTCTCAATTAAAAGCCTATGCACCACTCTATCTCGCGGATCAATCATGGGATAATGTTGGATTACTCGTCGAGCCGTATGACGACAACCCATTGATACAAAGAATCTTCTTTACAAATGATCTAACTGAGCCAGTGCTCGAAGAAGCAATTGAAAAACATGCGCAACTGATCGTCAGTTATCACCCGCCGATATTCAGTTCGCTAAAACGTTTAACACAGAGTAGTTGGAAAGAGAGAATTATCTTAAAATGTATTCTGCATGGCATTGCTGTGTATTCACCACACACATCATGGGATGCAGTGGAAAACGGCGTGAATCAATGGCTGATATCCGCATTTGGCACAAGTAAGATTTGCAAGGAGTTTTTTCAAAACGAAATTTACTTTATTTGTCACAGATGAACAAGATTATATATCGCGACCGATTCAAACAGTGACCGAAAACAATACGCCGTCAAGCAATCAGCAAATGTTAACTATAACTTTGCCAGAAGATGAAAAAACAGATGCAATCACGAACATCAAAGATGTGACGATTATTAACGAAATTCCGTAATCTTTCTTCTCATAGATAGAATCAGATAATCCATTAGTTTTGATTTAGTTGTCGTACAACTAATGGTCCTGCACGTCAAGTGTCCGTCTCCTGTCCACCTCAAGCGATAACTTCGATTTTGGATTTATATCACGATGAAGATAATATTCGTAAAACAATTCAAATTGTTAACGTGCAAAAAGTACGATAAAATCAAACGAATCGACTGTATATAATCGAACTTACTGTTTTCTTTCAGCCAGTAGATTCTCGTCAAGGTTACGGTCGTATAATAACACTAAATCAACCTCTAACTATTCGACAGGTTATTGTCAACGTGAAACAGTTAACCGGTCTTGAACATGTTCGTCTTGCACTAGCGAACGATAAGACAATTGATTCTCCAATAAAAACCATTGCTGTTTGTGCTGGTTCAGGTTCAAGTGTATTTTCCAATGCACGCAATGCCGATATTCAATTAACTGGCGAACTTTCTCATCATGCGGTTCTAGATGCTATCCATCGGGGTACAACTGTCATCTTATGTGATCATACAAATACAGAACGAGGATTTTTGAAAGTTGTCAAAGAACATTTCGAACGCATATGGGATGCCACTCAAGTTCAATTAATTATCTCACAACGTGATAAAGATCCATTAGACATTGTCTAACTAAAGATTCGTCTTTCGTATCGTTATGAATGATAAAAATATACTAGACAAGAAGTTTTATAGATTGATTTTTATTACAAGATTGCATTTCTTCGCTTAATTGAAGAGGATTGTAACGGATCATGTTCTCTAATTACTTCGTCCGACATTCAATTCATTTTTCATTAGCAATAACACTCATTCTGCTCACAATTGAATTACAGATGTTCCATTCTTCTTCTTTTTTTCACTTTCTTCTATTTAATTAGATATTTTACTTCTCTGAATTTCAAATTATTCTTTATTGATAGGCTAAATCGTTCTCATATGTCTTTGATTTACATATGAATGCACATGCCAAAGTCGATTGATAGTAACTCGTAGAACAGAATATTTCATTTCCGAAAAATATTCACTCGATCATGCATATGTCTGATTGGTCTCTCTGTGGATTCTCACAATAAATATCATCGAGCGTTATCAATTCATTTGAAAAAAAAGCGAAGAGAGATAGAGAGAGAGAGAGGAACAACATGACTAGACAGCACATACATAAAACAAACACCACACGCAATGCACATCTTCATTTTATCTTTCCAATCACTCCCTTCGTATCACTTGGATTCCTCGATTCTTATCGATGGTTTCAACGTTTGCCATTGGGCATTCAACGATTCACCAGACAGGACCGTTGACCAGTAGACATTCTCCGCGCAGATTGCCACTTTCGATGTGTTATTTACAATCGGACCGAATATGACAGAACCAAGTTGTTCTTTATACGATAAGGAATCGTGGACAAGACGCACTTCGATAATTGCTTCGGATGCCACATCACGACGTAGTTCGAACACAAGTTCTTCGTTAAATGTCGGACAATCCGATGTTCGTTGTACGCTGGTCTTCTTCCGTTTAATTTTCTTGCCATTACGATCGTATAGAGTAACTTTGACACAAGCATCGGGATATGCTTTGGTTTCAATCGACAATGGTCGGAGATTTTTTGCTTCGATGATTACAACGGACAATTTGGCGGCACTTTGTAAATAGGATAATGAGAGAAGTAATTCGCCTAGATCAGGATCCTAGAAATCAAACAGATAACAATGACGGAAGATCAACAAGAAGAATGAATCGAACTTGATGAATGGCATGTGGATCACATTCATCGAGTATTTTCCTCAGTCGACTTTGATCACTTTGAAATAATTCGTTGAGATCGTATTTGACTGACGCGATTCGCACATCTTTATACAACGGTTTGATTGTGCTGACTTTGTAGAGGAATATTTCAATTGCATGATAATTTAACTGTTCGTATGGCAATTCAAATTCATTCAGTTGTTTCTTGTCGAATAAATAAGATGTTTGAAGACGTGGTAAACGAACAATTTTCGTTTGAAATAGACTACGTCTCTCCGGTAATAAACGAATACGACAGTAGAACGATATCATATCGCCATTATTATTATTTATATAACCATCGAGAAGATGCAGATTTTCTAATGCTAATGTATCGATAGAAACATGTTCGCTGTCACGATCATAGGCCATGGAGAGATGTGTGACCGAATGTGTTAAATCATCTTCCGTATTAGCGTTCGAAGAATGGTTTCCTTTCTGAAAAAAAAACACATAAGTAAGTTGGAATTTTCATTCTTTCATTTGAACAACTGACTGTCGTTGCTGATGCATAGAGTGCTTGTTGCAACTCTTTCGGATCTATTGGATCAAACATCGATGGTCGTCGTCCTCGCATTTGTAACGACATTCTCCTATCTGAATCGAAAAGAATTTTTTCAATTTGATTCTCAAACGCTGTTTTCATTTTACCAGCACTCGGAGATGTTGAATTATTCGATGGTATGCTAACACGTGATGACGCTGTTGATGGACCAACAGCAAATTGCGAGGGCGGTGTACCTAATAATAAAATACGATAAATATCAATAAACGCGGAGAGAAAATTATCTATCCGATTGAATATTGAGTGTCGACCAAATGTTATTAGTTCTGACAGGCAATCCGCTGATGAGCTCGCTCTTCGTTATTTCAAACGAGAGCAATGACGGAGAAAGAACATTCACACACACACATATATATATATATATGCTAGTATCGATCTTGATCAATGTGTTTTTTGCTCTTGAGTACTACCCATGCAAATAACGATGAGTGTATATGCATGACATTTCTCGATGAATAATCAAGTGTAGTTGGTGGAGTTTTCTATCAGATTATGATAATAATAAAATACTCGAATCATTGGTGACAAGTGAACATGCAGATATGATTTTCCAAGTCGACATTGAATACTGACGTGTAACATGCGAGTAAACATGACCTTTTTCTCTCCTACACACTTTTGAAAATAGAGAGCAACAGTAGGTATGAACGCAATAACCGACTTGCCGTGCATCGGTTCTTTCCACAAGAAGCAGTATAAACAAAAAATCCACAAGCGGAAATCAAATCTAACTTGTTGCTTGAATGTATTAGAGAAGAAGAAAAGAGAATGGATTCATTTCATTCTCTGCTAAAGACAATTAGTAGATGTTTCTTTAGTTTTTTTTTGTTAATTTTCCTAAGACTTTAGTCAGGCAATTATAGTTTCCGCTTCTTTGACTTTGTATACAACCTATTTTTCTCACTCTATATGCAACTATTGTCGTTGAATGAAAAAGAACTCTTCTTTACTACAGCTCGGCTGTTATTTCCTCAAAAGGAAGGAGACAAACAATCTTATTGTTTCGTTTGATTCATACGCGAGAAAATATCGAAGAGTTCTGACACATACCGGACGCTGACGAAATACGATTTAGTGGACTAGACAAATAAATTGAATTCGAAGGCGAGATATTGAGTGACGAAGATCGAATACCAGGACGTGGCGATGGACACGGTGAACCTGCGCTAGTACCTATGCTATTCACGCTATTATTATGATGAGTAGAAATTCCTGTTGTCGATGACAATGATAAACGTTGTAATGGAAAGATTAACGCTTCTTCGAGATTTTCATCGACTACTGGAGATCGATGTTTACGCTGATGAAAATGAGTCGACGCATGAATAATAAGAGGAGCACTAAGACGGCGATTTGTCGCTTTTGTCGTATCGGATAGCGATAGATTCACATTAGAATTCTCATCATGACAATGATCAATGTGTATAGTTGCTTGTTTTGTTATGGCACGATGTTGCGGACGAGGTGATGGTGAACATGACCGACAGAGACGAATTTGAACATGATCAATAGATTTCTTCGACAGACATGTTGGAGTTAATGGCGAGATAATAATAATATTCTTCCTTCCATCAGATACGATTGAAGATGAACTGTTAACATCCGATGTCGTAGAAGTAAATAAGCGCCGAAAGAAAGAACTTAATTTAGCCATATTTGTTTGTCAAACAAGTGAACAGAAAATATTTAGATTTATTCGATTTCCGTCTTTCCTATCTAAATTATCTGCCATTAGAATCGAAAATAAGTAAGAGATAGAGCCAGAAATAGCTCGCTGAAAAACAATACACAATGAAAAGAAAAACAAATCAATAAACGTTTTCTTTTCAACTATCGTCGGACAGGTACACAACTATGTAGCAATGATGCAAATACTGATTATTCTTGACTTTTCTTGTTCTAAACGACAATTTTCTCTATTCTATCTCTTTATTCTATTTCCTTTTCTTTTTCTCTTCAGCTCATTTTCTCTCCTTCTCCTGATGCTCTTATGAGAATAGCAGAAAAAGTAATCAACGAGAAAACATACTATTCAACAACCATCAGGAAAATGAACTAAAATTAAGCATAAAAACCCACACCGTTATTAAACTACGTGTGTATATATACGCATATATGTTGTCACAAGTTCGACCTCGTCAATAGGAAAAAGTACAGCTGACATAGATGAATTAGAACAGAATATTTTCACTGAATCTTACAAAGCGAAGAAAGAATTGGTTGTTGGATCTTTCGACATCATCTGCTCGTCAGACAATGACCACTTTCGTATTGTATAATTTGAAAGCAACTATTCGATATCTTAGATTGACTTTCTATAAGTAGAATATGGAACTACTCTGATTACGAGTATTATAACAATTATTCACAAAAATAGTAAATGACAAGGTAGACAACGTTCAAAGAACTTCTAAAGAAAAAAAACCGATATGATAATGTAAAGATATATATGGATACCAAGAAATGTCTAAATCATATTTTATTTTTCCATGACATAACATGAAAACTCGATCAATCATTATTAGATTATTCATTCTGATGGGTGGTTTTTCACACGCATGCGGTTCGAAATGAAAGAATACACACACATCACTTACCGTTAGCATTGACATATCTGCGCCAATGGACCGGAGCTGAGGAAAATTGTGTTGGAATTTGTTCTTCGGAGGTTCCTTTTTGATCAAGAACTCTACCTAATCGTTCGGTGACAATGCCACGCCGACGAATATCAGGTGCGGAACGTCGACGTTCTTGTAAATGTCGAAAATGCTGTTGTCGGAACGTTTCATTTTCATCCAAATCTTCATCTTCCTTGTCCTTGTTTTGCAAAACAATCGACGACATACGTTGAAAAAACGATTCCATCTAAAACTGCTCGTTCGATTATTAGAAATTCAATAAGAATATCGATACAAATAGGAAACGGAAGCTACTTCTTCCCCAATAATCTTCCTCTACGATGTATCTATTTGCACACGACTAACTTTATCGAATATCCGATTGAATCGTTCGTTAAATAATAAATCCGTATTTATTCGAAGTTACTTGTTTTGCCTTGTCAATGTCGAAATCTCTCTTATGATTAGACACCTAATCAATAGCTTACTACTGGTGACACCAATCTCTTTTCTTCTTATATCTTTGACAACAACCCACAAGGGAGTGTTCGCTCGTCTATCTGGATTGATTTCTCTTGTCAGATGATCAATTTTCGCAGCCACGATACGTCGAATGTATGTGTTTAGATGTATAAATAACATGTGAATGAATATATCTCAAAGTTTTCCTTTTCTCGATTAGAGAAAATCCGATTAGATGAACTAATCTAATCTCGTTGCTTATACAAAATCTCTTATTGGATTTCAAGCAATCGGTCTACGTGATTCTCGTGTATTTGTATTGTCTGTTTCTCTTCTATAAATTGAAAACAGAATTTTAACTCTCAACTAACTAACCTACTGATATTGTGAAGCCAATTCTTGTTGAGCTGTTGTTATTTCGTAATAGTGTTTGCTTGTTTACAATGAAATCTAAAACAAACATTGTTATTTCAATGTTAGAAATTAGATCTGCGCATCGACAGTACTACTTGAATTTGTTCGCCAGATGAGTGTCGTTTAAACTGCGAAGAGAACGAGAACGGAAAAAGAAAATGCAAGTGAACTCCTATTGGATAAATCTCTGTTCTCCTTAATAATGTTTGATCTGTGAATTGTGCAATGAGAGTAACAAAATTGAACTAAATCAGGAACTACGTTCATGAATTATCAAGTTTCACTTTTTTCCTTTGGAATGACATAGAAAAACAACACACACATACATACATTGTCTGAGGTGAATATCAATTCGAGCGACGTTCTTGGTTCATGATGACGGAGATTCAATAAAATTAATTTAGCAGATATTATTCAGATTTTATTGTATATATTACAAATGTTTATGTTAATAAACTAAAAGAAAGATTGACAGTGTTAGATTTACTTTCCACAAACCTTGTTCTCTCATGTGAAGGAATTACGGAATGATTTATATTCTTAGGAGAGAGAAAAAAAAACGTGAAAAAGAATTGATTAATAGCACCATATGATATTTTCACTGGAATAAACAGATAGATTACATACATCTGGAGTTAGTCTTGTTTTTCCTTTCTGGTTGAGACTCTGAACATACATTGTTGAATTGATTAGTTACAAAAATATGACGTATCGAATTCGCTTGGATTTGTGATATATGCGAGAAAATTTCGATTAAACGGAAAATGATTGATTTAATGTGAATCGATTATTCTCTTGATAATTATCAATCAAGTTTTATGACGATTATCTTGTGTTTTGTTACTTTTTTGACAATGACATCATTTAGACTTAAAGGTGAAACCCTTCTTATCGTCTCGGTTTCACGTGCTTGGATGTTGAGAAGAAAAAAAAACATTTAACTCATCGAAAAGTGATTGTCTTTAGCCAAAATCTGTCGTCATCGACAACTCAGATTGAGTAAACATCTCATTTGAGTTGATTTTTCTTCTGTATATCTCAAGCATTTGATTAAGTAAGTGAACGAGCGAGATTTGTTTGTCCAATTTAGAAGCTTGTTCGTTGGCGCATCTTTTGCAGCATTATGAAATTGACATATAGGATCAAAAATCCGATCGAACTTCTTCTTCTTCTTCTTCTTCTTTCCTCTCTCATCAATAAACGAAAGGAAGATGAGAAAAGATTTTTTGCTAATGTGATTCTGCCGACGATGGCCGACTGAATGAGATGATGATTTATTATAATCAGAAAAGAGCGAACGAGCTATAATGGATTTGACGAAAGGCACTGTTATTCTTTTCTTTGTCAACCACGGCGAGTCAAAGAAAGAATTTCAATATCGTGAGAGATGTTCATTATCATCAGATGAGTATAATTGACAGAAATCGCTTTCTTCTTCCTGCACTCGATTTATTCGACAGAAAGGAATCTGATCGTTGACAAGTCGAACAGAATAGAAGGCAAAAAGATAGTGACGATTGTGCATAATTGTGAATAGTTTCTCGCATTCTTGTCGGCACATTTTTTTTTCGATGTGAATGAGAGTCTCGTCTTCTGTTTTTCTCTCTCTTCGAGTTCGCTATTGCGCGTTTAGCATAAATTATCCAAGGCGACAGAAGCAGCGAATTTTGTATTTGCATAAACAGTATCATCATCATCATTCTTGTGCTCTCGTTCTTCCCTTTTCGTATGCAGTCATATTTTGTTGTCGAGATAACATTAATGAGCTTTTTATTCTTTTTCTTTTTTTTCCTTTCTTTAGCTTTAGACCATTTTCTTCTTATTTCTCTAATTTATGTGTTTCTTTAGAGATTTTTTTCTCCTGTTTCTATGTTCTCCCCCTTCTCTCCTACTTTATTATGGTTATATATCAGGGTTGGTGCGAATCTCACTTATGCGTGTAGAAATAGATATGCGCATACACATATATACAATTAAACTTGCACCTGGTTCGAATTTGACTTTATTCTGTGTAGCAGTAACCAACGAAAGTCAATTTTTTATTTTGTCTCGTTCCACCGCTGCTACTGTCTGTCTATCTTTTCGTTTTTGCGCATAAAATATAAAGCATAGCTTCGGCCATTAAATAGTAAAGAACAAAAAAAAATTGTGGAATCAAATTACCAATGAGACAACGAGAGGAGATGGTGCTTACTTACTTACTCGTTTATACTCTCAAATGATAGAGTATGTGTGGTGTGTTTCACATTCTCGAGCGCGTGCGATAAGAATACATAAACAGTCTCAATTAAAAACGAGAGAAAGACGAGCATAAACAGTCGATTTTTTCGAAATAACTTTACAATAGTATACTGATTGTTTCTATCTATTTCAGAAATATTAAACTATTTATATGACACTACCGACGAGTTCCGAACAGTCTCGCATAGCAGAAGGTACCGTCCATTCGAAATTTTTTCTTGTTTCGTTAAGTTAATATTCGTCTAGCCTCTTGTACATCGCCTCCAGATGAGTATGTCAATCCAGTGTATTTAAATCCATTCTCTCAACTCACATCTCAACAGCAACAGCAACAGCAACAGTTGTTTCTTACGCAACTTCTACTTTCCGGTAAATAGTCTTTTGTCTCTAATCTGAATGCCATTCAAATGATTTGTAGGAGTCACTTGTCCACCATTAAATCCGTTAGCAAATGCTTTACAGTATCTCCTACATAATAGTGCGCTGTATCTGCAGCAGCAGCAACAGCAGCAAACTTTTCGTAAGTCAATCGAAACGATCAACCTTTTCTTTCATCTGTTCGATCGTTTCAGCTTCTTGTCCAATTCCATCAGTATTAATCGATAGTCATAAACCAAACGAATCAAGTCTACCTGTAAATTTAAAACATAAACGTGATTCATCTGTATCAGTACCCATTGATTGCAGGTTAATACCAAACGTTCTTCTCATTCTTTCGATGTCTTTGTCTTTCGTAGCCTATCCGATACGAATGGAAAATCAGTACCAGATGATGATGATAATTCGCCGACGATCGCTACAACACTTGCAACATTACATTCGAACACTAGTATTGTTATTTCACATTTGTATCTTCACCTCTCTATCGGAAGATCTTTCTTAGATGAATCGACGACTGTGGATGGAATCAATCTAGATGAAATTAAACAATTTGCTAAAGCATTCAAACTACGTCGTTTAGCGTTGGGTTTGACTCAGACCCAAGTTGGTCAAGCTTTGAGTGTCACACGTGGACCAGCATATAGTCAGTCAGCCATATGTCGGTTCGAAAAGCTCGATATAACGCCGAAAAGTGCATCAAAAATCAAACCAGTTCTCGAGAAATGGATGCGAGATGCAGAATTGAAATATGCTGATAGGTGCACATTCGTCTAATTTAAACTCGTCTGTCACGCAAATCTTTTCATCTAGATTAAAGAATGGACCAACGAATCTGCAAGATCTCGTCACTGATCTAAATACAAAGAAGCGCAAGCGGCGAACATCATTCACTCCTCAAGCATTGGAGAAACTCAATGATGCATTTGAACTGAATACCCACCCATCCGGTATCGATATGTCATCGCTTGCTCAAGAATTAAATTACGATCGCGAAGTAATACGCGTTTGGTAAGTTACATCTCCGTTGTGCGAGAAACAAAACAAGCGATTCGTCCTATTCTTTTAGGTTTTGTAATAAACGTCAGGCATTGAAGAATTCCGTAAAAAAATTCAAATCGAATCAGATAAATGAAGATAATGAATCGACATCTAGTTTGCTACTGGAGAATCATTCAAGTACTGGGCAAGATGAAATTTGATCTTGATATTTATTTCAAAACCCAAGAATAAAAAGATGCAATCAAATGAAGTGTTGTTCTTCCATATTTATCATTGACTTCACTGATAAAAATCAACGTGCGGTTTCTCTCTCTTCTTTCTTTTTTGTTTTCTAATAAAATACACAATAACCCGAACGCGTCATTTCTTTCTCTTCGAAGAATAATTATTCATTATGAACTAAAAATAGAAAAACACAACTAAAATCGAACGGCGTTATCTATGAATTTGTTGTTGTCTTTGAATCACCAAATGACCAAGCAGCATTACTCAGGTATATCGTAAGATTTACAAGGGCGTTGAAAGGCAAGGTACGCAAAATTTTGTTTGCAATTATGTTTCATCATAGGTAAATATTATCATTTGTTATGTCAATAAATGTTTATATTGTTCTTTTTACAAATAACAACAAAGGAAAAGTCGGTTATTTTATAATCTTTGATAGCCTGTCGGATTTGAACGAATTAGATCATCAGTTTTAATATATGAAGACGTCAGATGACAGTATTCAGATGGAGCTGAAGGTGTAAGACCGCAATCAGAAGAGGATGAACTCGATAATTCTAATGATTCTTGATTGAGAACGATATGTTGACGCATTCCACATCGAAATAAACATCTTCCGTGTACTGTAAACACGACCGAAGGGAGAACTTCATTGAGAATCTTCATGCTGTTCAATCGAGCATTGGTTTTTCTCGCTTTTGATATGATTTCCACAATATCGCCAACAATGAATTTTAAACAAATGCTGGGTGATTGTCGAGTAGCGATGCTTGCCATTATACGACCAGAAAAATGAATCGATGCGGAAAAATGACTTGAATATTCTTCTTCATCGACATTTAACTTTGCTATGAGACGTGTACGAGGCGCTATACGTAATTGACTATCGACATTCCACGGTATCTCGAACTCTTTCAACCTAATTAAATACGAAAGAAAGTAGATCATAAAATAAGTATCGATAGTATCTGTTACATACGTATCCTTTCCCAATGGAATCATTTGTTCGGATTTAATATGGTTCTGAAATGAAATGAACTGTTTCGGTAAATGAAGTGTAATCGGAGATTCATGTGACATCGCTAAACTTTGCTTAAATAGAATCTTCAAAGTTGAACAAGTCGATCGGTTCGCAGTGAAGTTATATAATTGTTCACTGAGGGTTTTATTATCGAAGTTCGTGCGAAATAGCGTTCGAGATACACATGACGAATTCGAGTTATACAAATACACATCATCTTGGTTCAATGTAAGATTTTTCCAGTTGATGGTGATGACAAGATCCTCACGTCTAAATCGATATGGAAAGATATGTGTGAGTTCGGAAGTAAGAAAGTTTCGATACTTGTATCGAGATAATAGTTTAGTTTTGCTGTATGTTTGCCAAATCCATTCCTGGACGATCTCATCCAGATCAATAATAAAACGTTGATCTTCTTCTGCGACCGTTTCGACATTCTGTAGAGTTTTGTTCTGAATAATAAAAAAAAGCAAGTAAAGATCGAAACTCTGTCCGAAACGGAAACATCTACTATACTTGATGATTGCCCATCGAAACTGTCGTCAGTGAATGTAGAAAATGAAAGATAATATTAATCTTATATTTGAAAGAACGACTCGGAAGATAAATGCCATGTTAAAGATGTTCAAAGGTTGATCCTTTTCCTTTTCAAGGTCAAGCTGAATGTATAAACAAAATTGAATACCGATTGACACACTTATCATTGGTAAATATCAATGTATGTACAAATGTCACATACAATGCGATCGTTGAGATTAGTTCCTTTGGCGATAGCGATGAAAAAATGCACATACTCCGTTTTATAGCAGACGTAAGCAGAAAAATAAGTTTTATTTCGTTCAATAGGCATAAAATACAAGACAAATTAACAGATCAAAAACATAGATAAGGCACGGGATGTTGACTAGTATAAGCATACAATGGACTATTGAATTATTTGAGAATAGATGAAAGCGAGAGAAAGTTTATGACCAGATGAATTTAATGACATGAGCTACGTTTTGACATTCGCGCGGAGCAAGAATTCCGCCAGCGGTATATAAACCACTAAGTGTACAACTTTGACAGCGAACGCTGAATCGACATGTGACACGTTCAACCGAAGCTTTGAAACCATCGTGAACTAGCTCATCAACAACAAAACTAAGGTAGAAGAAATCGTTTGAAAGAATCGGAACTAAACATAATTCTTCTTACGCAATAAGTTTGTCCATATCGATATGAATATCTGATTGTGTCGGTTTTAGTTGTTGTTGAATTTCTAAATCAGCTGTTAATCCTTCGAATGCGCAAGCTATACAAACAAGTTCAATGTACGTGTCAATTAGAAAATTGAATCGTACCGTGATTAACCGTGACAAATTCACGACTGCAATTATAACAGGGAATAGTTCCTTTCAACTTCGGATGATCCAATTGAGTAATGACGACTCGTGATTCGTGAAATGAAGAACGTTTTTCACCGGAACGATTGACAATATCGACTTTCATATGTTCATAGTCGGGTATCAATCGACGAAATGATTCTCGACGACGTAAGGAGATAACATATGGACTTGAACCTTCTAATTTAGCGACTAACGAGTTAATACAGAACATTTCGCCTTCACGAAGAACATTTAAGGCGACAGATTCTGGAGGCATTTGATCACAACGCAAATAATTTAAAATATGTCTAAATGGAGAATTCTAGATAAGCCAAATCAGACTCATCGGTATCTTTCTTTCAAATCCTCCGAACTCCTTATTTAGATAAAAATCGTGCCTTACCCAAAATACGTTCCATCGCGATCTATAAAAATATTTCCATCTTTATCTTTGGTCAGATCGTATCGTCCACTGAACATAGCAGCTAACATTGAATCTTCATATTTACGTAGTGTTGACAGGCTGGTTGTGTAACGGCAACCGCCAACATTCAGATCAATTACATTTGGAAACTAAAGCAGCAAACATGGTCAGTTTAATGTGAAGATAGATGAGAAAGGTTGTTTACCACAATACTCTCACGAGCTTTTGGCAAACTATTTAGTTCTATGGATGATATTTGATGTCGTTGCGTTGTAACGTGTGAATTGAGTCCATCACTTAATATCGTTTTCAGCTGAACTTGAGTTAATTTCGTCTGTATTTTTTCCGTCGTCATTTCGTTGTCATCGTTCGCTTTTTCCGGCGTTGATGCACGAATCATAAATGTTTCATTCATTTCATCAGTCATTTTACATCTAAAAAAATGTTCATACACCTACATGTTTGCTGTCGTTATTTTTTCTCTTTTCAGTAAACATAAAAGCAAACAAAAGTTGAGAAAATGTCAAAGATGGATACTGTGTTAGAAAAAGAAAGTAGATTCAAGCTAGATCACATGAAGTATTTATAAGGAGCTGGGATGCCTTCACTGCGTCCAGGTCGATAACCAATGATACTACCACGGCCAATACATTCTCCTATATAAAACCAAAACATAACTTCCAGACCGACGAGAGTGTTCAGTCCGAATTGCTAAAAATGAACGATTTAGTTTTTTGTTTCCCTCCGATCAACGGTGTCTATACCTTCACAGTCAGATTACGCCAAGCACCGGTTGATGCAGATTTAACAATTTGTTGTATACCTCGTTGAACTTGATCGAATTCGCTAGGCATTGGCGGTCGAAGTTCAACGCGTGCAAAGTACCAGAATCGAGAAAGTTTTGATTGACCATAACGAGCTACAGCTATTTGTAAATTCGATTACTTTCTATCAAAGAGGATTTCCACTGATGAATAGAAACTTACGAAGAGCTAGTTTAGGAACAAGAGCGGTAATTCGATTAACGATAGCAGCCATTGCTGATGAACCAGATGCTTCACAGTTCAGGAAAAACAATAAGCGATGTTATAGTCAGCAAGAGAGGAAGAAATACTATTACTATTACTAAGTTAATGTGATTTCCATTGGTTATGTGTATTTGCCTTTCTGTTAACGGGAATATATCAGATGTCGCTAAAGAATTAGTAATAATAATTAGGCAAGAATTAGCTTTCGAGCATCCGAAACGAGAGAGTGAGAGCGTAGGAAATTGTGAGATTTATGGGTATTATTTTGTATTCTGTTCTTACAGTTGTGTTTGATATTGATCTTTCGAAATTTTCTTATCTATTGCGAAACTTTTGACGTAATGAGTAATCTAGACTATAAAAAGGTGCATGATATCTTTATTATTCTATGAAAGTATGAATACTTCATTTAAAAAGAACAAATCGCAAGTCAGTGTGAATTATCAAGTGACTTCGCCGAGATTTTCGGTTCGGAATATCGATGAACTTCAACAGGGTGTCAAGCATTTGACAGATCGTGGCTATGCTGTATTCAGTGACATTCTAACAAGGGAAGAAATCAGCGATAGTATAGATTTGTTCTGGAAACATTTGGAACATCTGCCAAAACCGTGCAGTATCCGACGTGACGATTCGAAAACATGGAATAAAAACTGGTGAGTGATATTGATAAAGGAAAGGTATGAGAGAAGAATGAAATGTGTGGTAGGCCTGGATTGAATGAACTTGGTATAATAAATGATTATGGGATGGGTCAATCAGAATTCATGTGGTTTGTCCGCGGGAATCCAAATGTGAAGAAGGTTTTTTCTGAGATATGGAACTCGGATGAATTATTCGTATCTTTCGATGGTGCTGGATGTTTTCGTGATTGGCACTTAAATCCAGATTGGAAAACCGACAGTGGTTGGTACCATTGTGATCAAGTTAGAATACGAATACAAAAACAGGACTAAAACTGATTTGTTTTTCTGTTCAGAATCCGTTTCAGAAACCTCAACGATGTTCTGTTCAAGGCTTAGTTGCTTTAACCGATAATGATGAATCAACAGGTGGTCTTGTTATTGTACCTGGTTCACATGAACGCTTTGTCGATTTACAATTTACGGTCGATGAAAGAGCTGTGTGGGGTGATTATGTTAACATTCCATCAGAATTAGCCGCACAAATACATCCAATTCTGGTGAAATGCAAAGCCGGCGATTTAGTTGTCTGGGATTCTCGCTGTGTTCATTGTAATACGCCGAGTTTAGTGGATAAACAAGACGACAAATCAGCAACAGACAATCAACTATTACGTATTGTGGCCTATATTTGCATGAGTCCATTGAGTTTATTCGAGCCTGATGGCGTTCGATTCGAAAGTCTGGAAGAATTTCGTGAATCAAGGGAAGATTTCGTTCGAAATAGAGTTACATGTTCACATTGGCCGTTGGAGTTAGTCACAGCAGGTACGTATCTGAACAGTAGAATCATCGAACAAAAAAACAAAAACAAATCTTCTCTCATGTAGATCGACCATCGCATATGGAGAAAGTTCCGCTGAAACTCAATGCGTATCAAAAGTCACTCATTGTTGGTACTCACATCACTCCTGAAAATGGAACTGAAGAAATCGTCTTTTAATTTGAAAGTTTATATCATTTTTGCAAAGTAAAATCAAATCGTCTCTTTCTATCGTTGAGTTCACTGGAAGTGTATCTGCATCGAGCATAGCGTAAGATTACGGTGATTTTTCAGTTGTTTCTAAGATTGTATCTGTTGATTTTTCGTCATTGATTGGAATATATGATTCTCCTTGAGTTGTTTCACTTTCGCTTGTACTCTGTGTGGAATATTTCGGGTAATTTTTCAGACTTCGTCGCATCACTTGTGTCCGTTCTAAAGAAGACTGGACTATTGATGGGCAACAAGCTTGACATTCTTTTCGTACATTGATATTTTCGAAGGTAAATTGTCCGTATTCGTTCTTATTCAGTTGATTCGGTAGAGTCGACAATGTATTTGCGTGCGGTCGGGCTGACTGTTGAAGTTGAGGATGCGTATGTTTTAATTTCGATTTCATATTCGTCTTCAATGGTGTTAGCACACCATGAACATCGTTTTCCGACTGTGTCTGCTCTTTTCTCTTGAACATCATAATATTCTCTTGACTTTCACGGTGTAATGCCAATAGACTTCGACGTACGGTAGCCGAGATCAGGTTAGGATCTATTAACTGTTCATCGGGATTTTGAAGATTATGTTGTGTCATTTGCGGGACAGGTAACGAGATATTTCCAGCAGAGAAACGATTTGATCGCATGCCAGCTGTTGGAACACACAGATGTTGAGTCGAGCAACTCTCATCATACAATTGAGAATTTGTCCAGGATGTTTGAAAACTACCCGGAATCGACAGATACGGAACGACGAAGGCTGGTGACTGGTGAATTATTTCTAAAAAAAAACCAAGTGGAGGTAAATAATTTATATATGCTTTGTCAAGAGACCACGTTCTAATTAAAGAACAGGAGGAGGGAAACAAAATTATAATGACGGTTAGAGCATTCTTTTCTTTTCTATATCAATTATAAATAGATGAATAGCTTAATTATCTTTGTCAGGTATTTATAATTCAGATTCAGATTTCGACGTGCACTTTCTCTTACCTGGTGTATTTGAACTGTGATGATTACATTCATAGTTAATATTCGAATTTGATATTGTTGCATGTTCTTCCAACGTTTCATCGTGTGTTGTCAACGAGATATTAATAGCAGAATGAAAGCCAGTTGTTGATGAAAGAGGAACTGTCGAAGTGAGATTGTCTCGGCTGACAACTAACGCTGAAAGTGTCGACGGAATGGTTTTCATGGAAGATTTCGGTAGATATTGTTGTACATAATGCATAGATTTCAAATCTTCGGGATTTATATGCGCAGTAGGCATCGTCGAATAACGTTTCTTCTTGTAAATTATCGAATCTTGTTCGCGTTCGACAATTTTGATGTCACCTATGTTCAACGGATCCTTACGGCTCACACAATAGTGCACTTGAGTTTCCAGACGACGAAGTGACTTATATTGATTGAGACAAAAGCCAATAGCTGATAACCATACGGCTAACACAAACAAGATGAGACATACTTCGCTTAACATTATATTTGAACTTGAATTAACAACAACTGTTGTTGACACTGAAAGATTTCAATTTAACGGTAATTCAATCAGAGAAATAACAGAGAGACGTACTTGGATTGATAATATCACCGAAACAGCGACATGTGTTGGAATTTTCGGCAAGAGTACATCGATTTCGTGTCAAATTGGACAGAACTTGACATAGTGTAGCGATTGTTAATTGAGTCATATTCTTCATAAATTTTTCTCTACGAAGAACGAGAGTAAAATAAAACAGAATTCTTTCGATTATTGCACTTTGTCATCTACATTTCATAAGTTATCTACACAGTCTGTCGCTGCATTTGCTTCTGGAAAATAATCGAGACTCGTCGTGCGAGATGATGTTCACGCAAAAAATCAACAGGAAAACAAGAAAAGAACATTTTGTTTTTCATTAAGCTTTTATACAAACTTACATCCGTTCTTTTTTAATATATCTCGCCATAAAGATTAGGCTAATAACCAAAAGTATAATCATCGTGTGTCTTTTTCTCCATTCTCCTTTATGATCGAGATCAAAAATAGATAGAAAATGACTCGTCAAGAATATCTCATGTCCTCACTAATAGAAAAATTCATATCGGTATGATGAAGGAAGACGTTTCATCTGGGAAAAAAAACAAATTACGTATTTACCTGTAATTTCTTTTCAAGTGTACATTACCATTGAAGTGTGCTCTCCTCATCTATTGTAACATAGTTCGGGCTAAATAACTTCTCCCTGAAACGAACTGAGCGGCATAGTTTCTGGCTGTGAATTATTGATGAGACATTACTAGAGTTGAACTTTCTCCAATTGACATGATCAGAAAGGAAGACAGCAAAACACAGAGACCTACTTTTGTGTAACTTTCGATTGATTAAATTTCTGTCGGATCTAATAACTGATGAAAAGAGCGTACATTAAAAGAAATGATGTAAGCATAAGTTCGGTAAGTGGAGAAAATAATTGAATTAACCAAAAGAAGAATCGTGTAGAGAGAGAGAGAGTGAAGAAGAAAAAGAAACTCGTAATTCTATCGGTCATTAATAATTTGCTCATACTCATCCGAGAACGAGAACAAAATCTTCCCAACAAGAGAAAAGTATGTTTTCTGTAGACTTTATTACTAGATGAGAGAATGTATCGTGCAAATTCGTTTGTTTGGCAACTATTGAGCAAACAAATCAGCTACTTTATTCGGTAAATTGAGTTTTGCATACACACAAGATTGAAACTCATTTTTAGATTAGGATTCAAAATCATAATCGACGTCGACGAATGAATTCTATTACAGTCTCTGTTCGTTGTTGATACGGATCTTCATTTATCGACTGTTTTTCACATCTAGTCACCGTGTCTCTACAAATACAATCTTTGAATTAAGGATAAATAGGGTCTTTTATTAATAAAACACACAGTGACATTAATTATTAGAAGCGTAAAAATGGTAGATTTGTTAATAGAAGTATATATCAGTGCGCTGTTTTTCTTACCCATTGATGTCAGTATTATTATTGATTATTTTGACATGTTTTTCTAGATACGGCGCCTCGATGATTAATTTACCATCCAAATAATTCGATTGTAGACGTTCAATATCGGTCTGAGGTGGTAGACTGGTTGATTGGAAGAATGATGAACGAGATTTGCGTGTGTCGCTTTCGGTTTTTCGTTCAGCTTTGACGATTAGTTCTTGATCTTTGATTGACACTTGAATATCCTCAGGTTGATAATCGGTTAGATCTAAAGACATGAGTAGTTTCTTATTGTCATTCGACGAACCTGGAAGAATTTGTGGGCGAAAAGCTGACCGATGGAATACATCAAAATCAAACGGTTTTGTTTTGCCTACGGACGAATCATTGTTCGATGTGACTGCAACCGGTGTTGTTCTTGATGAATCAGTGAATGTCGTATGAAAGCCATTTGGAGTAATCGATAAATTATGATGCGGATCTGATTGTAAATGAGTTGCGGAAGATGTATGTCGTCCACCATTAGTTAGATTAAGATCCCCATAGGAAAATGTTAATGATTGACTTGTTGTATCCCGATTTGACAAATTTGGTTTCTTTTCAGTTATTGTTGAATGTAAGCAAGGCATTTCAATGGTTAGTTCTCGTGTTTTCCGACTGTATGAGGACGAATATCTTGTTAAATCGATATGTTTTGGTATAGGAAAGATTTTGTGCATTTCTCGCCGAATAAAACCACCGAAATGATCTTCTTCTACATGTTTCCCATCAACAATTAATTGATTTCGAGAGTAAGACGGTGTAATAGTAAATTCATTTTCTTCAAAATCATCAGTCGTCAATCGAATAACATATTTTGTACCTTGATCACTAATTCGTTGGTCATACGAATGAGTAATTGGTCCCGTATAACCATCTGAACCTGTCGGATATTTGATTGATGACATTGGTGAGTTAATATTCCAAGAACTAGTAGAATATCTCAGTAATGATGATGGCGGTCGAGCAAATGTATTGTTGGATATTTTAGAAACGGGTTTGTTATCGTTAGTTTTGTTCGTTGATGATGATAAGGAAAATATTGGATTAGTTGATTTAGGATAAGGAAGCGAAAATGAAGAAGGCAGAAATGATGTTTCACTCTCTTTATTAACAGCAGTGCTATCGTTGAGTAATCTTGAAGATGATGGAAGTGAGCCTTTTTCTTCTAATAGATTAGTTTGATAGTTATCAATTGAATATTGTTTTATTGGTGATTGGTATGCTAAAGTCTTGTCTGTCGAATTCGATGATTGACAATAGGAATGTCGTGTTTCGTAGAGATGATTGGATGGAACTTTTTGTTGTTCTTTCACAAATGATGAAGAGCACGGATCGTGACAAAGATGAGATGTCTTATTTGGAGTCGATGGGAGAAGAAATAACGACGATGATGATAAAAAATCTCTTGTTTTCCGTCCTTGACAAAGTTGTCGATCGGCTAGCGGAATAGAACTCGAGATAAATTCTTTGTCATTTCGCTCTTGTAAACTTTCACTCGGCTGATCATTCGAGATATAGATTCGTGGTTTACTCGTATTCGATAGAAACGATTTCGATGAAAGAAAGTAATCATTCGATAATAATGATGTTGATGGTAGATTGTTGTAAATATAATGTCGATTACGACGCGAACCGATATACGGTCGTGGCAACGACGATGACTAGAGGAAGAAAGAAATGAATAGGAGGTTTTTGCTAGTGTACCTCGCGGACTGAAGGCCAATGAACTAAGTTTTTCCTCTTTTCGAATCATTCTGCTCTGATCATATCAATGCAAAATGACGTTCACATGAGAATTCAATGTGGTTTTTACATATGTAAATATTGTTCTAACAATAAGCTGATTTGCATATGAGACAACATGAAATTTCTGCTATTCAATTATTGATTGTTCAACGAAGGAAAAATGCTCAGAAAATCACTTACCCTATTAATACTTGTCGACATTGGATGCTGTGTGAATGTATACGTGTGCTTGCAATGAGAGATTTCAAGTGAATGCAACTAACAATTCAACTTATATATATATATATATTATATCTGTCGGTTGTCATCAAGAGAGGTTTTTTTGTTGAAGTAAACTTTGCAGACATAACACATGGTGATGTTTTTTTAACAATTGAAAAGTGTCTTGTTTTATTTAGTTGTTATTATTGAAATGAAAATAGTGTTTGTCTATAGTGAGTGAGTTCTTCAGTTTTTTTTTCTGTATAATTCTTAAAAAAAAACAATATGTGTTTGATCTGTATAGTTTTATACATCTTAGAGACTCGTTTCTTTTGTTAAAAAGAGTAAATGTGTCTGAGAGAGAAAGAGATGATCAGCATCGTTAGCTAGCGCAACTGTAAGATAGATCACGCTGTGCAAACTTTGGTTCATTCGAAGGATGAGGGTGTGCATCGAAGAGAAGAATTCTCGTCCTCACCTTCATTAAAAAAAGACAAAAGTAGTTTCGCCACTAATCAATGTTTCTGTCCCTCGGATTCTCGATTTTCTATCTTATCAAAGAAGATTTTTATATGTCATCCAAGATGATTTTGAGATTTAGACTTATCTATTGAAACTGAAGTTCAATTAAGATTTTGTGAGTAGTTTTTTTTCGATCAGAAGTAAAAAAGAAACTTACACCTAATTGCGCGCTGAACGTGTCATTCGCACCGTCAAGTCGACATATTTTAATTCCACAGAAAAGAAAACTTTTAATTAAAGTTTATCTCAGTTCAGTGTACAAAACATGTTCATATTAATAAAATAAACAAAACGCTCAGGAGACGAATCACTCGTTTACAGTTAATTTCGGCTAATAGTATCCAATCACGTGAAAAATTTCATCATTCTCAACCAGATATCATCAGATCTACATAGTTACAAAAAGCTATACATAAAACAATGACAAAAACCAGGGTCAACGACTGAATAAGCACTGTTCCCTGACCATAGTATGGACAATACGGACATTGATACGATCCACACACCTTGAAGATAACAAATATATTACTTACAAAATCATGTATGAATAGCACTTACTTCGCAAATATCTAAGCCGAACAAATTTCTGAATGTATAAACATCTCGATACATATTTCCTGGTTCGAACCACTCGTATACTCGAACTTCATAGTATCGTGAAATGTTAGCTACTGGTATCCAACGTTTCGCTTGAAATTGAAAGCAAGTTGGATTGAAATCAACGTATGGAAAGCCGAAATTAACTTGACCAGGCCAGTTTTCTGCTTCGCGCAAATTACGAACATAAAATCCCCAAATCATTGATTTCAAATCTTTTTCTTCGACACGATAACCTGTTGGAATTTGAATTTCAACGAACACTGTACCACTTCGCGATGCTTTCAATATATCGACATTTTGCGTTCGCCAGGACAAGCAAACATTGTAGTCAATGGTTGAAAAGTTACGACCAGATAGTACTGGCCGAACATCTACTGAAAATGGTGCATAAGCCGGGCGACGAATTTTATTTGTAAATTCGACATTGACACCAACATGCATCTAAGGAAAAAAGCAACTATTGTACTTTTGCTTAAATTATATCAGAATGACCTACTTGAATTAATGCGTAACCATTACCGAATCCGTCGATGTAAAGCACGCCCCATACATGTTCAACATCACGAACTTGTGTATCGATGATATTTTCGTCAACGATAACAACTGGATCATGACTTTCTCCTGGACCAGATGCGGATGTTAGGTTGATTCGAATGTTATAAGCAGTAATTTCAAAACCACGCAGAACAGCATAACCAACAATAGCACGTTGGGCCATACAAGAGTCATACGTTGCTGACCAACCACCAATGTAATTTCGCATCGATTGTAACCAGAGCACTAATGAAATATGAGAACTGTCAGATCAACAGGGATCTATTTTCATCATCTAACATACCAGATTGTTCAGCATCCCTTACTCGTGCTTTGTGAGTATATGTCATAACGACAAATGCTGTTGCAGTTACCGCATGTGCTTCGAAATCGGTCGGTACTGGCTTCGGTCCAAACCGAGGATTGACGTTTGGCCATGTTTTTCTCATCGATGGCAGATTCAAATTTGAATAATAGATTCCATTTTCATCTAAACATTCCAAGCAAGTCAATACAAAAAAGAAATTGTCTATTTTCTGTATTTACTCATTCGTTTGAATAGCGTTAATCTTGCAAAGGCTGCATCCTGTTCAGCACTATTTGTTAGGTGCAAAGCATAAGTAACAATGGCCATATCGAATGCATCGGTAATGAGGCGAAAATGTTTTTCTAACCACTGTTTTCCTCGTTGAATAGAACCTGTTAAATATTTTCCTGGTATTCCACGTACATCAACATTCATTTGTAATGCAATCAGAACTTGTGCTGTTAAGGATAAATTCAATCGTTCGTATGTTCCACTGACATTGGTTAAACGAATGCCAAACTTGTGGCGATCTTCGATGCCGGTTATTTCACCCCATGAACCATTTTCTTTTTGGTTTGTTAGAAAGAATTTGACAATATCAGAACGAAGGTTCGGGTCAATGTATAAACCTTTTTCTTCCCATTCAGGGTAAACGGCATCACGTAATGTCATCAATGTCCAAGCCGTGAGGTACACAGAAGATTCATTAGAAAAACCAAATTGACTGAATGAACCAACACGCCACGGTTCATCTGGATAAACATCAACATACATAGCCATGAAACGAAGATATTCCATATTTGCATAAGTCAATACCTGTAATAATTTTTGTTCATCAAATGCACGACCACCATGACCTAAAAATAGAAATTAGTATTGGAGAAAGCGTCTACCCGGACTACTAACCTTGTAACATATACCGAAGATTATAAATCATCATAGCGAAATCAAATACACCCGCATCACCTGGAGCCGTTGTTCGTTGAATTAAATTGTCTGTGTTTAGCCATTCATCGTAGCCCAGAAGGAAATACGGACCAGCTACATCGCCGGATATAAATATTTCGCAAGTTGCTGAACCAAGTATGTAATCCCAAGTGTTTTGCAAAGGGAGAATAAAATTTTCAGGAACAACTATATCATATTCATTCACTTGCCGCGGTAGATTATTTAACAATAAGACGGTTGGTGTATGATAATAATTACGCACACCTTCATAATTCACTTTGATTGTTTCGCGGAAGAAATCACGAGAAACGCCAGTGATGCCTTAATGACAAAACAGAAACGATGAAAATGTTTCGAAGAGGATATTGATACCTTCAATCATAATTTCGATTTCACCAGCAACAACAGGAACAAACGGAATATGAAGTCGTCGAACTTCATTCGGATACAGGATCACCAGTACATGATGTTGGCCCTCGGTTAACTTCGGTGCGTACGATGATACAATACCTCGTTGTTCGATATTAACCGAACGATAATCATCGGATGCATGTAGAATAATTAATGCTTCGACGCGATGCGATTGAAAATTGAACACATCAACACGCGCCCCAACTTGTTCACCAAGTCGTACAATGGGTGGCACTTCGACTTTAATAAAAAATTGTCTTGTACCTTCATAGATGAATGGAACATCAACAACACCAAAGCCTGTCAGACGACTGACAGCAAGAGCTGTGATAACCCATGTAGTGATCACGTTTGGCACTGTCGTACGAAATTGCACACGACCATCGGGATACGCGAATTGTTGATGCCACATAAAATCAAGTTGTAATTCACGTTCCCAGTATGGCCATAAACGGAGATACAAGGGAGTGAAATCGTACTCACTTGTTGGTGTTGTTATATTACCTTCAGAGAGAGAGAGAGAGAGAAAGGCAAGTTAATTTTTTCCATCAATCCAGAATTTTCTACTTACAATTTGCTTCATCAGAACCGTCTCGACAATCAAGTATATCATTACATCTCAATGCAGGTGGATAACACGTACCATCCGTGCATTGTAATAAGCCATATTGATCACAGTCTGTTTGGATAGCTTGAATATTAACATCGGTGAAGATTTGCATTCCTGAAGAATTGAATGTTGAACCAGCATCATAACCATAGGATTGTGAGGGATAAAAGACTCGATGCGATGCAATATTGATATCTGAGTACCATGTATGTTGAAAACTCGTTGTAGAATATCGATCGAATGAATATAGTTCATCATAGAGTATAACTGAACTGAAATGATTGCCTGGTGGAAATAATCGTGTTTGTACAAGACCAAGACCAGCGAAAGCAACATACGATTGCGGTGATGTATAAGCTATCACTTCGATTGTGTTTCCTGTGAAATCTTTTCGCCGATTAATTGTGATATTCACATGGTTTGTTACTGATGATGTATTAACATGAAAATTCATACTGTCGGCAACAATTTCGCCGTCATAGCGAATGTAGTACACTAGGATGTGAGCAGATGGAGCCATTTCGCGACTAATGCCAACATCGAATGTTTTCTGGCGAGCACCATCCATAGGAAGAATATTTGTAAAGATTAACCTACCTGCTGACGTTATATGATAATAGACAAAATCAACATACTGGGTGATATTGACACGAAACAGCATAAAATCTCCTACACGCGGGTTTTCCGTACTCGATGTTACTTGTAGATAACTATTCGATGGAGATAGATAACGAATAGCACGTTGTTCATCTGTGGTACCTTGAACTAATATATTGTTGTCGTATAGTTCAGCACGAAGACGTATGAATGTTATTGCTGGATCACCTGGCGCTAAAAACTGATGTTGAACGATACCAGAAGAATCGATCAGATAATCCACTGGAATCCCTGATTGGCCTAGATCGTTTTCAGTATAGATACGAATGAACCGACCAGGTCCCGGAGGATATTTCGTCCCATCAATATTCATCGCAGCTACATATGTAGTAAAGATCATCCGTGGTTTGAATACCATTGATGGACCACCAAGAAAACGAAGACGCGTACCAGGTGTATAGAAGGAAACAACTGTCGTGCCTGAAAAAGATCCCTATAGATTAACCAGATTCTTCAGTAAAGTATTCTCTCCTAACCGTTATTTGTTTCATTCCACCAGGGATCATGTACAACAGCTGTTATTAAGATTTCATTACCATCCAAATCTGGTAGTATCGTTCGGATGGCTTCCATTGGAATGAAGAAGCCAGCAACACCATTAAAGTCATTGATCGTCGTCCTGTATGTTGATATTAGTCTTCCTTCTGGCGTCTTAGGTTGAAATTCAACATCAGCCAATGGAAAATTATACGGATCATAACGCGACGAGCGATTGCGTGCCTGAACGACTAAATTTGCATAACCGAGAACACCCATACCAGTTGTGTAGTTTGCTATAATAAATCCACCCACGCCCGGTGCATCCGTAGGTAAATAATATGGAACGGTAACATTCACTTCGAATTTCCGATTATAAAATTCGTGTACATCAAATTGTTTTGTTGCTTCGTAACCCATCACACGGCATTGCACTTGCCACACACCTTCCGGTGGTGCATCATTCATAGGATACTAAAACGGAAAAAGTTCAACGTTAGAACTTATGAAAATTTTTTCAGGAATTTGTACCTCAAGTGAAACAATACCAGCGGTCGTCTGCTGATTTTCCCATTTGCGTAGAATATGACCTGATGGTCCAATTATATACGCATCAAGTGTATGAAAATATCCGCTCAAATCGGGATAAATAGGTATGCAACGAAATTGCACTACCGTTTCATGTCGATATACTGGTCGATCAAGTTGGATAAGTATCGTTACACCTTTTTGTTCGAAGATCAATTCGGAAATATTTGAAAATTTTCTTTCACCTGTCAATGATGTTCCTTCAACTGTTAAACGATAAGTACTAGAACGTATATTATTCGGTATACGCATCTGTAGTGTTCTTGGTACATTCAACATACAGAGATCTTCAGCTGATGCCACAGCCATATCATCATTTGATATTAGTGCTTTGACCACCGTGGAATTCCATTCTTTACGTAGGATGGTGACACTAACGGAAATGATTTGTGCTGGTCGTATGATACGTGGACCAACGATGATATAAGATGGCGTAGCAGGTATTCGTGCTTGTTGTGATGTGTAGATATTCAGCGGTACTTGTCGGCGACGAATGGAATGATTGAGAAAAGTATTTGATTGAAATGGTTCAGTTGTTTGGAAATTGTCGGTTTCATTTTGTGAATAAAACGGAAAGAATTCCGAGGATTGATAAGCGAAAATCGTTGTCAAGAGATGCAATTGAAGAAAGAGAGCAGCACTCAGTCGATTCATCTGAAATAGAAATGAGTTGAGCACCGCTATAAAACGTGATAATAAAAGAATCTTGAAAATTTTTAAGACTTTTTCTCTTCCTTCACACACTGTATGATTCATCTGCACCGATCAATAAACTTAATCATGAGACTATCTGCTGAAACTCCGGAGAATTGTTTATATAAATTCGATGTTCTGATGACTATGATTCTCTCTCTCTACACATAAACTAACCTTTTCCATTGAAGGGCAGATCTTATCGTCAGTACGCGAAGAAAAAATTTGTTTGTTAAAAGAACAAAGTCATCGTTATTTGAACTTTATCAAACAAATTTCTTTTGCCAATGAACCCTATCATCACATATTGATCACGGATGAAGACGATTATTCGCGGACTATCCATTGTTGATCTACATTTCGAAATAGATAATCAATAATACGTCAAGTGAAATTTCATCCGAATGTAACGCTTCATTTGTTGCGATACGAGCTGAACGCTGCAGTTAACGAGTCGGGTGGGAAAGTAATTACAATCGTATAATTCAAAGACATTGTTCTGCAGATGTAAGAATTATAAGTTTCATTATTCCGAGTAATATGAGACTCGGATACATAAAAATTTGATACATTAAGAACGAGGAGAGAAAGTGTATCATTCAAATCTTTGATAAATCGTCTGATCAGCTGTTGTTCCTTCTTTTCTTTTCGTATGCACGATCTTTTTCACTGATCATGTCTGACTTTCTGTCTTCTCTTTCGTTCTGTTTTTATATCATTAACTTTCTTTGATGATATGCTACATCAAAGTACAACATCCGTATCTCCCTTATAAAATATACTCTACTTTTTTTTTTTATTACAAACTGCAATCGAAACGCTGAACAATCCATTTTCAAAGAAAGGTGAACTGATTCATCGCTTTTAACAATGTTCTCGAATTGTATGTGTGTGTTCAACAGTAGCACGAAGTTTACACTTCTCTGTTTTGTTAGTAGTAAGACACACCGCCATTGACTGTTAACCTTCTTTTTTTCCCTTCATCAAAAAATAATAGAAGTCATTCGATTGAATCACTTACGTATTCGTACTCAAAGTTCACTCGGGTGTTTCCCGATGAAGACACGCCTTGCTGAGTCAGATTTCAGAGTCAATATGTAGCACACAAGGTTACAGACATAAGAGAACAAAGCAAACAGTTCGTTGAACGTTTTGGCGTTTACAAACAATGAAAACATTTTGTCAATGTATTGACACAAAACCAAATGATCTCGTTGACCTATAAATGTTTCTGATTGCTTCCATAACTTTAGTATGATCGTATTTTTCTTTCTATAAATATACATACACCAACTCGCTGATATATTTTTATTAAAACATGTGCATATTCGTTATTTAAATCTCAATGTTCAATACAGTTAAACTTTAATGTTTCCTTGATGAGGTGTTGCCAGAGGATTACCCGGAAGACGTTGCGCGCATGAAAGAACGATGATTAAAGCCATAATGAACGCATGATATTCTTCTGTGCCATTTGCAATCTCCACCCAAAATGTGTCTTTCAATGGAGTAGTATCTTTTGTAACGAAAGCAACGATGCTGTCATCTTTCTTCAGTAGAAATTCGCGAGAAAAGGGACCTCCTCGATTTTCCATAAGATAATCGCCATTCGATGTGCTGATTTCTAGTTTACGTTGAGTGAGTGAGCCTGTTCGTTTTACAGACGCTAGTTGTGTTTCTTCAGCATCTCGACGAATCGAATAGATGTTATATGTTGGATGTAAATGCAGTTTCTCTTGGCGAATTCGTATTAGTTCATTTCCGACAGCATCATATAGCGTCAGTTTGTCTCCTAAGACAAATAATGTCGAATCGACTTTATAATGAACATTTCCATCAGCATCAGTAATGACAAATTTATCATCGGAGGAGAAATGCTTGTCCTCGATGACATATCGATTTGGTAAAGACGTTTCGGTTTGATTCATTGTGTGAAATTTACACTGAGAAGACAAACAGATATAAATAGCTTAGTAAAAGGAGTAATCAACCGTATCTTTATTAACTTGGGCAGTTATTTCGTTTTATTTATTATCAAGTGAATCAGATAAAAACTCGGGAAAAGCATCATTATGTATATCAAAAAAAAAAAGAAAAGAAAAAAAAACGTATAAATATAAACTACAATGTACATCGAGTTCGTTTCTGTTAACTTCGTTATTTTCAATTTGATACATCGAGATGTATAAAACGATTGTTTCGGCCACATTTTCTATACACATATCACACAGTGCATTGAGATAGATGGATAAAAGAACAAATTATAATGTCCAAACGCACGCCTACTCACGCTGATCTACAACTACAACATTTATCTAATGACATGTTTGGTACAAAAAAAACAAAAGTATGTCTGGAACTTGTCACTGTTCAATTATACACTTGATGGAATCGATGCGACCTATTTATATGTTCTTTGAGTCCATCATATGTTCTTCTTGTTTACAACTGACAGCTAAATTTAGTGGTTGATCAAACGGATAGCTATGTAGCAGACGGGAGGTCAGCGAGATAGGAATGGTCTGTTTTCGTTTCGCTGTTGACGAACAAGAATATTGTTTTTCACTCTCATGATGACTACTATCTAATGATTCGGGCGATGATGAACTTGCTCGATCACTTTTCGATATCGGTTTATCACGTGCTGGAAATAAATAGTTACTCGATAGCATTGATGAGTAATTTGGTAAAAAATGTAGGAATTGATTAGATATCTGTGACGGAACGGACGGTTCTGAATGTTGAAGATTTTTTTCGGATAGGAGTGATGGCTTGCTGGTTGATGGATAAAACGTGTTGACGGATGGATTTTGACGTTTCATATTCTTGCGAATTTCATCGGGTGAACGCATAAAACGATAGAGTAAACGTTTGGATTGCTCTTTGGAAATAATATTATTCGAATAGTAGTAACGCATCCCGCGTGATAGCTTTTCATAGGTCATTGATAAACGATTCTTTTGTAATCCTGAAATGTATGTTGAGTACACGATTGAAATGAAAGAAAAGTAGATTTTACCCCAGAGTGCGGCCAGTTTATCAGCTTGATTGATTCGAAAGACCATTTTCTCACGATTTTCCCAGTGAATTATTGATTCATAGAGTGGATCTTCGAGTAGAATGTAGAGAAATTCCCAGAGAATTCGACAATCTACATCAAATAGTCAATGGATGTCTTGTTACGATATACATCAGAATATCATACTTTTCGCTGCTTTTGGTTTCATTAGAATATCACCATGAAAATCAATGCGATCTTGATAATAACGTATCTGTCTAGCACTATCATTTCCAGCGAGAATTTTTCTTTCGTTTGCTTGAGATTTTACTAATAATGGTGGTGGTAGTAGCGGTGGTTTAGAAACGGATTCATGCTGTTCGATATCGATATCTTCATCGTCCATATATTCCTCTTTGATAGATGAGATCGGGAGACTCGTGTCATGTTTGTCCAAAGGTTTGGTCACTAGAGAACAAGTTTTCAATGCGAATACATCGTTTGATGGGATTGAACTAACCTGATGATGACGAAGACGAACAATCTGATGTCTGCCGAGTTCGGGTCAATTGTTGCGACTCAGTCAAAGCTGTTGTGTATTTCGTTTCACATTGATTGTATAGATAATTCATTGCTGAATGTAGATATGGCATGTTCGGCGGTGGAACTGGTGGAAATGGAAGATTAAAATGACGCACTGATGAAGGTGGTAGAAAACCAAAACTGTTCCATAGTTGATGGGAAAGTGCTGGAAAAGACATCAATAGAAATGGAACATTCTCTGCACAAAACTTTACTTTGATAATGGAATGATTTGATTAATGCATAGTGTTGTTGAAGCGCTTTATAGAGAATATCTCCAGAACGTGCTGAACGTTGTTTGAAGCCATCTTCACTCAACAGAGATAATGCTTTACCTGTAGGGAATCAAAGTCACAATTTAAGAAAAGAACGTCTTCTGTTGAACTGACCATTCATTTCGAAATCATTCAAGTTAATATCACCCAGTGAATATTCTTCAATACAATATTCAATCCATTTTTGCACATCTTCTTTCGTCCAGAACTCGATCGATCGAACTAAAAATCGATGTTACTCTCTTGCGTTTCTCAAAGCACTTTCTTACGTAAGTTTCCTGGTAAATTCATTTTCGTCGATGATATCAGATGATTATTCGTCGGAAATGGTATATTAGCAAATGTCGTATCTGTATTAGCAACCATACTAAAATTCAAACGAAAAATGAAACTGAAAGAAAAACAACAAAGGTAGATTCGTTCATGCGTCACAGTTACGGAAGAGCATCGCCATGCAATACTTTTTCTATATACGTATCTATCACTCGAATAATCATATTTTCCTCGAATATGACATCCCTTATTTGCGTAGGAAGAAATACATTACTTTTCCCTTTTGTATGATTCATTCAAGGGGTCGAAAACTCAATATTTCCTGCATATTTACTTAATAGGAGCTGAAAAAAAAGTGTGAAGAGATAAAAATTAGGAGGTAGATTGGATGTAGGTAGATGGGAAAGTGAAATCAGTGTTCGATATCATTAAATGATAATTTAGTAAATAAGAAAGAAGAAATCGAAATTGGGCTGAGTAGTATGCAGGAGATTGCATTGAATACGAATGGTCATATGCACTCTGTTATTTTTCAAAGAATAGGAGTGCTTAGAAATGACCTCCTTCCTTCGAAAATATCGTAGGTCAATAGAAGAGATCTATTCATTCTGATTTCATTGTCTACCTTGAAAGCTCAAGAACACAATTCTCTCACAACAGGAGACGTATTCTGTTCTGTTTTTGCATCGCTGCTCGCTCTCTTTTCCTCTCCCATTAGGTCGGTCGACGATGTGAAAAGAAAAAGGAATCATTTCAAGTTATTTTTTGAACATACATATACATATATATATATGCACACACTGGCCTTGTTCTGTTCTCTTTTTCCTCTCGATCATCATCATCACTATCCATCCTGTCTACCTGTCGAGACGACAAGAGGAAGGTCCAAAACATTCGTATATAATAAAACAAATTTTTTCGCTTTTCTCCCATTCATTCATTCATTAGATTGAACACGATATCCGCACCAATACACTCTGCATACGCACACACCCATTTCGGTGACCTCAAAAAAAAAAGGAGAGAATGCAATAAGCTCAATATCAAATAATTTGACTGAGAAAAAAAGGAATTCTTTGTCGGTCTACTTCAACTCCGCCTTTTTTTTCTCATTTCCATTGTCATGCTTTATGAATACTTTTAGTTTCTCGTTTCGATCCTATACAGTTACTCGTCGCGCAGCCTAATTAAAGGCTGAACATAAATCCATGTACACTCGACAGGTGTTTGTAAGTAATGATGATACTGATAAGACACACGACAAACACCAGTCGATTGATGACGTCTATTTACGCTAAGCTCCCATTCTACAGAGAAGTGCTAATATAAAGCCTATGATCATATCAGCAATGTTCATTGTCGAAACGAGAGAAAAAGAAACTAGGTCACAACAACCTGTTACTTGTTCAATCATTAATAACTTATGATCATTGACCTAGATAGACTTCTTTTTCATTTCGTTCTCAACTAATAGTAAAGTGTATGTACACGAAGGAGAAATGAATGATGCATCCCAATCGTTTCTTTTCTTTTCTATGAAACTTTGATCAATGAACAATTCTTCTAGTCTATTTTCTACGCTTTGAATTCAATCTATATCAGTTTTGCTTCATTTGACTTCTACTCTAGTTCAATTCTCGAATGTTTCTGTCTAGTGAATAGAATAAAAACAAAACAAACGCTTTCATGTTACAAGTTCATTTTGCACATAGACATACCCTTGACGGAAGAAAAGCAAAACGAGAAAAAGAAGAAAGAGTTACTTGTTAACTCATTCACGGAAGATAAGATAATAGCGGTGAGGTGAAAGTCGATATATACTGTTTACCATCTTAAGAGATAAATACATTGGTTTGCTCTTCTATTGTATATGATAAGACACGCAAAGCAAGAAATTCTATTCGAATATGTGTGTACATAGACACTGATAACTGTTCAAATGATGATAGTTAGTCATCAGATATGTACTTTTTTTCGTTATTTACATCGACATTCGTTAATTTAACGCATGTATAGCTATGTTAATCGAGCTGAAGGTGAAATCAAATGAGACATTACGTACAGAAATGTGTATACGATTAGAACTAATAAAAAAATATGACATAAACATCTTTTTCCTTCGTTCATTTACCAATGTTTCTTAACGTATTTGAATCATCGAAAGAAAAACCGAACTTTTTTCTCTTTCCATTCATCGACAAGACGTTCGATTTATCTGTTTCGTGTGTCTTCCTTTTTCGTACTCACTCATTAGATGTAAAAAGTGTGTTTTTCTTTCGAGGACATCGTCAAAGCACGTGAAAGGAAATAAATAATACTACATTTGTCATGTAAACTCATTCTCACTTGTTAATAATCACCATGTTTTCGTTTTGCGTTTGAAACGAACGATAAATATATGGACTCAATAAGCCTTTGTCACCTATTATAATCAACATAAGGATTTGATGGGTAATCAACAAGCTTCGAAATCTCTTACGGATAGAGACGTGCAAATTTTGATTGAGACTAGTGGAAAAAGTGAAAGAGAAATTCTTCAATGGTATACAGAATTTCATGAAGATAGTCACGGAACTGATCGAATGAATAAACGACAATTCCAAAACTATTATTTGAAACTACGCAACCGACCCAATTTGCAACAAATCACGGATCATATTTTTCGTGCATTTGATATCGATCAATCCGGTAGTTGATTTCGTTTTCGCCATTGAAAATTTCCTCTTTGATTTTCCAGGTACAATTGACTTCAATGAATTCCTCATTGCCTATATTGCTACAAGCGAAGGTACACCACGTCAGAAATTTACTTATGCGTTCGAAGTCTACGATATGAATGATGACGAAATCATCGAAAAGAAAGAAATCAAGAAGATTTTAAACATCATCTGTCGACTACTTGGCTTTTCGGAGCATGATGCTGCGAGTTATTCTCGATCGATGATGCTTTCCTTCGATACGAATCGTGACAGAGTCTTGAGCAAAAGCGAGTTTGTTGAAGGATGTCTACACGATCCGACATTAGGCAAATTATCGAATCCATTCGATCTCTGATTCCGTGTTTATCATAAATATGAAACTAAAACGATCAATAGAAGACTTTCACAGCATCTAATTGGACACAAAATCATTTTCTTTTCAAGTTTATACAATAACAAACGCTCAAAATAAACAAATACATCTCAAGCGTGATTTTGTTTTTTGAAAAACATCAAATACACAGTTACATATACATACATACACATTCGCGCAAGAAAAAGATACCGATTGATTGATACTATGTATGTATGGATGACGAGCATATCTTGACTAGTGATCAATACAGCTAAAGAGATCTTCGATGTTGTTATTTGCTTTACCAAGCTATATCAACATTAGAGAAGATGTAAGTATCCGCTTGTTGCATTATCAAATCGAACCGTTCGAATAACTAGGAAAAAAAAGGACGAGATATCTTCAGAATGAATAGGTCGCCTTTTCGATTTACTTCTTGTAGCCATGTCGTGTCGCCACAAATAGCACTGATTAATTCAGTGGCGTCTGCTGTCGGGTTTAGTGCTTGTAATTCAGCAACCTGTTTTTAGAAATACCAATCGAAGTGTGTTGTGCATAAAGCCACAAAGGATTACTTTTCGTTGAGCATGACAAAACATATGGTAAACATGATGCTTCAACTGATGCGCTGTTTGCGCTAAAGCAGCGATATTTTCACAGACGAAGATTTCCTGAAATACATTAACGAATGAAAATCATACAAGCTATTTGTTAAATGACTTACCAATGTTTGTAATGGAGTATCACTGGCTTTCAAAGTATCAGCATCATATTGATTTCCATGAAAGCGTAGTGTATGTGAAACTGATTGAGATTTATCTTCGGTTACCTAAAAGAAACGCTAAGTAGCGTTAGTGTGTTAATTTCTTTGGAAAAAATTTACTTGACAGTGTAATTGTCGTTGTGGTTGGGCGATGATATCCAGTAAGGGATACTTCGCTACAGCATACTAGAAAGATCGAACAGAAATATTCGTATCCGATTTGTGATATGAAAAATTCTCTACCGGAAACGTTTCGATCGTACGTCTAGACTGTATCACATAGTTATAACGTTGTTCAAGCATTTCATCAATCAATCGAATATAAGTTGCATATTCATCTAAAAGTCTCTTCGTTTGCAAAGATTCCTTCGATTGAAAATGAATGTTTACCATTGTTAGCTTTTATTCTTGGTAACACTTCAGCATCGTACACATGATTAACTAGTACTTGTGCATAAACATCATGTTGAATACGTACTGCACTCATATGACCATGAATTCTAAGATCGATAATATTTGATCGATTCGTAGACGAACGTTTGAAATATCCTACTTGAGTTTGATTGGATGGGAATCACTGGATATACGAACGACTTCTTGGTTATTATGTAAACCTTTTAGTTCACATTTAAGTGGAACATAATCTTCCAGAACATTTGTATAGAACATTCCCTAAAATAGATCGTATTGAATAGATCTAGATGCATCGAGGATTTACCTCATCTGTAGCTTCCCAAGCAATTTCCGAATCGGCAAGTACTGTGTCGTATTTTAGTAAAAGTGTTTTCGTATGAACTTTCCAGATGGGAAAATGTAGTAAATTAAGAAAATGTCCCTTATACAATAGAAATTGACCGATTTCGAATGGAATTTCTGGACCCATTTCTGTCACTAAATTCAGAATGAGATGTTATTCGTACAGAAGAATTTATCTAGCTTATTTCTTACCTTCTTCAGTGAATTGTTGTCCGCCTGCAGCTGCCGTCACTGTTTGATTTGGTGCTGCTACTGTATCAGTAGACATGTCTGATTGTTTACCCTCTATTGATGTTTCTTGTTGAGTTCGTTCGTTCACTGCTTGTTGTTGGTGTTGCTGTAGTGCAGCATTGGCTAATTGTAATTGTTCATTTTTAAGATCATATAGAGCAGCTGCTGCACGAGATGGACGATCAATATCCATCATATACGATGATGAACTAATCGAGTGAAATGGTACCTGAATAAGTTTACTTTATGCAGAGATTGACTTACTTTGTAGTTGTGGGTTGATAAATGCTTTCGTTTGTTGTGTTTAGATCTGAAAACATTCGAACAATATATTTGAAAGAAAAGAAGAAGTATAACTGATTACTGGAACTAGTTGCACCGAAATTGGTTTTCGATATAGCTGCAGCTAGAAGTGTATCGGCTTTCTCCTAAATGATTGGTGATGATTTATAGAGAATGATGTGCATTTAAATCATACTGTACCTTTTCACTCTGTATTCGACTAGGATCTGCTGTTGCTAATAAATCATTCGAAAGATAGGCTGTCGTGTTTTGATTGACTTGTTGTTGCTGTTCTTGCACCATTTCATTCAACTGACTAAGTATTGCTGCCGCTGATGCTGTAGCTGGCTCAATACCTTCAGTACCACTGGTCGGTTGTGTTACTGTCAACGTTCCAGCACCTAATTGATCAATCAAATGTTGTGGTAATGTAATCGTTGTCTAAAATAGATGTAAACGTCGATATCATATAGTCAGAAAATCTATGCTATATTCTTACAGTAGTATTAAGAATATTTGATTGGGCATTGCGAAATAAACCGGATAATGCATTTAGATTCTGCTGTTGAGCGTTTGGTGTGAGGGTTATTGTCTGAGGTAGAAGTGTAGTCGATTGATTGTTCGCTGTTGTAGGCAGATTTTTTAGTAGAGGATTTATTTTAACTCCTTTACTATCGTCATACAATGGTCGACCAATAACCATAATTTCTTCGATACGTGATTCATCGTTCACCATATATGTTTGATAACCCATGGTGCCGGTTGGTTGACCCAATGAACTTAAGACAATACCAGCATTGACTGCACCGATATAAACATTATCTTTTGGTTTACGCATAACCGATTCATTGGCAAGAGCTTCGAGAGATGACATCTTTTCTCCGGCGAGGAATTTTAGAAAAGCATTCTGAAAGGAATTCTCTTTGGGATCGTAATGAATTTCAACTAGACGAGAAAGAATTAGTGGAAAATGGATAAAAAAGCATCGTTCCTACTTGGTTTTCGTTTTGGTGGTGGAGCTGTTACACGTTGTACAGATTCTTCAACATTTTGCACATGAAAAGCATTCGCATTGACCTGTAAATTGAAAAATGAATCGAACATGTTCACAAGTATGCACTCTTACTTTGCTTTGAAACGATTGTTTATGTTGTGCAATCGATGGGTTCATAGTAGCAGGTGCTATCGGTTTGGGTGTCGGTTTCGGTTGAATCGGTACTGGTGTTGACACAACTGGCGGTAGGTGGGTTGTTTGAATTGTGGGCATCGAAGCAATTTGTAAGATTTGGTGTTGTAAACTAGTTGGTACCTGGGCGACTTGCTGTTCAGGATAGTGAGAAAAAAGAGAACCTATATGCAAAATCCAGCATTATGAAATATTTGATCTGTGTTTGTCAATCAGTTCAAATCAGTTAAGTAGTAGTAGTAGTGTGTAATATGTTTTATTCATGAAATATATCATCTATCCGTTCTTGTTTATAACATCATCATTTTTGAACTGATTAACGTTCAGATTAACTTACCATCTTGCAATAGTGCATTGATATCTTGATCTTTATCGATGATAACATCTACAATAACAAGAATGAAAGTTTATTTTCAAAGTGCATCTTCTCAGCAAGTCGATTCCTGTACATTGATCTTGTCCTTGATCATCTGTTATGATCAAAATCTGTTGATTTTCTGTGATTTGATTTTGTAATTGATTGATTAATTCAGCTTGAGTGGTCGTATCTTGTATGATAACTACATCATTATTTCCAATAGTTGTTGTTGGTAAAACGTTGCCGGCTGTTTGCAATACAGCGCCTGATAATACCTGTGCAGCACCGACCGTTGTTAACGGAACGATGTTACTGAACATAGTGTATGAAAAACAAACGAAGTTGTAGATGAAGAAATCTAGAACGAATCGTATTTGAGTATTATTTTCGTCACAATCGAAATATTTGCTTTTTTTCTATTTGACACAAAGAACGAATGAGATTTTTGATTTGAAGATACACTTGTTCAATGAAATGAAAACAGTTGTTGTCAACAGAGGACGCCAGAGCATAATTCACACACGTTGATCGCTTTTACATCTTATACACGAGAAACAAAACAATAGCAATCCGTGACCAAAGTATTTATTAATCTATGGTTAACTGTGTCGTTCGTTTTCTTCTTTATATGTGCAATAAAAAACGCAAAGGAATAAAAATACATTTAGAAAAAGAAGAAAAATTGGTCTAAAATATCATCACTGCTGGATTAAATATTGAGGAAAAAAAAAGATGTGTTCATTTCTTCTTGGCATCTTTTGCAACATCTTCGACAAGTTTCTTCGCTTCTTCGGCTTTCTTCTTTAACAAGTCTTGTGCTTGCTTGATGGTTTGTTTATTGACATTGTTGTCTTTGAAGATGTTGACCAATTCAGTTCCTGTCTCTTTGATGAGTTTCTTCACTTCGGGTTTCTTGTCTTTCGCTTTCTCGGCGACGTCTTTCAAATTCTTGTATTGCTCGGAGACTTTATCACGAAGTTCGGCATTTTCCGAGACTAATTTGTTGAATGCATCACCGCCGACATCACCAGCAAGGTCTTGAATTTGTTTGACACGTTTTTGAAGGATGTCCACTGCTTTGCCAGCTGTTTTAGGATCCAAACCACCTTCTTTGGATAGTTTTTCGAAATCATTATATGTTTCTTCGAAAACTTTCTTGACTTCATCACCATGTTCTTTAGTTATTTCTTCGACTTGGTCGAAAATTCTACCGAGAAAAGGTGCCGAACCAGGAATTAAAGTAGCACTTGCAGATCGTAAGTATTTCAATGTCTCAGCCGAGTCACCAGTTTTGTCTTTGACAGTTTCTTTTAATTTCTCTGCTTGTTTGACACCTTCTTGTGCAGTATTTACAAGTTGACGTGTACCACTAAATTGATACCACGCGAGACCTACAAATCAATAAAATCCAATCGATTACATCTCGCAACACAATGTCTACCTCCGAGAAAAACGGTAAGACCACCAGCAATTCCAGCTGTCAAGTTTGATCCCTGACTTGCTTGGTTAGCTTTGGCTTGTGTTGATTGCTGTGAAAGAAAGAAGTTATTCAGACTAGTTAATGGATATCAAGAAATATACCCAACGATAAGGAGCGATCGATCGAATAGTAGGATTGATACGAGTAGCTCGTACGATAGCATTGAATGCGAGACGATTCATCATTGTTAATTAAGACTAAGGTTGATGTTCGAATATACGGACTAAAAAAGATGATGAAGAATGGTAAATATTTGATTTCGAGTTTACTAAGCCTCCGTTGTGAAAGAAAAATCACCGATTGGTGCGTGAATAGACCAATTCATAATGAAGCGCATCTGATCGCTATGAACATGAATATCTTTCGAAAAATATCTGATGCTTGATTGAATCTTTCCTGATAATCACGACACGTTTATCTATGGATCAGTTAAATTTATTTTCGATAAAAGCAACTATATAAAAGTACAGTTTGAAGATGTGTCTGCCAGTCTTAGATATCATCCCATGTTAAGGGTATTTTTTTATCCGTTGATCGACTTGCATTTGATGTATTTAAATCGTCCCATGTCAATGGGATGACACCTTCGATTATCTTGATCGAGTCAGCTGCACTATTTTCAGTAATCAGTCGACAGAATTGAGATAATTTGACTGGATCAATTGAAATACCATTGATTTCAATTGTTATACCGAAACTTGTCTTGTATTGACTTCGAAATAAGAACGACGTTTCGTGTTCGCAAACTAAATGTGCATAAACATATGCGTGTATGTTCATTTTCGTTAATGGTTCGTCAGTTATATATGTATTATTAAAACGAACAATAGCTGATGAATTCTGATGATTTCTACCCCAACTAGGACATTGATCAAGACATTTCGTCGCAATTTCTTTAGCCAGTTTGCCTGGCGAAACTTCTGTGATATTCCGTTCACGAAACATCTTTTTGATTGCATCACGTAAATGACTACGAAGCGTAGACCATTCGCGATTATAATCGAAACCATGAGTATTAAACCATAGTTCACTATTATATGATGACTCTTTGTCCGATGCATATTTGGATGATGATTTCGCTCGAAGGCTCATACTTCGCTGTGCACCTTCGGACGTATGTAATTTTTTCGTGATTGAATCTGGTGCTTCTTTCGCGATTTCTTGCCATTCTATACGATGATGATTGAGCAAGAACATGTATGTTTTCAGAGATGATACACTTACCACATTCGGCTTTCTTCGATATGGACTTTGGTTCGAAATATTTCAACAATGTTCCAGGAATACGATTGAATACTTCGATCGTCTTCGCGTGAATCTCCTGTGGTATGAATGGGAGAATTTCATTGACTGTACTTGAAAACATGGACATATCGATTGTTGATAGATGTTTTCGTAATGTCTGAAAGAACATAGTTGATTCTAGTACAAAAAAAATCAATTTAGTTCCACTTACGATCGACGTTGCGTACGTTTTAACGCTCGTATGACGATCAAAGGTAAAATTTATACATATATGTGCCACAAACAAATTGATGATATGCGGGTTTTTATTTTTCTTGACGAGAGATAATGACACGACTGACTTGTTTAGGAAATCAAAATACCCGTAATAAAGTTGTTTTTGGATACGGTCCATGCATCGTCACTTATTATGTCAAAACATACGATAACCTTGAATTTTTCATGTTTTCCTGCCATATTATTCGTCCGTTATCAGCAGGAAGAGGGTAAAAGGCACAAAATCAGGTTGTTTTTGCAAACATATATATATACATACATAACTCTTACCTTTTACCTTCAGAGCAACATTCTAATAGTAAATATTATACAACTTCATCTTCAAGGACATATTTTTTCAGGAAATACATAATATTATTTGCTTTAGAAAACCAAATCGATATCAACATGGCACTAGTTTTGTACACTGGCAACGAACTGGTAGGTTTATTTTCTCCTGAAGTTCGAGAGAAAGGAATGGAGATTTTTAACCGTATACCTGGTACCTTATTGAAATTCTTGGATGAGAAGAAGATCATTAAAAAAGTTTTGTTCAAAGATGACATATTGGCTATCGGAAAAATCATGGGTACTGAAAAACAGAAAGATTTGAATAATTTTAAAAAAAGTCTACGTGACTCGATCAAATCACGTTTCCGACAGTCGAATGTGACTGAAATTCAACCGGAGGATTTCAGTGAAGATATTACCGCGCATTACCGTGATCAATCAAGGTCATGGGCTAAACCAGGTGAAAAATTATCAACGATCGTTCGATACACGAAAGAATATCAAGTGAAGAATCTTCAACAATGGACGAAAGTTCATGCGTATGTGTACATACATATCATCGAAGAATGTGAAAACAATTGGTTCGGAAATAATAATTATAAATTCGGATATGATTTATCAATTGAATTAACCGGAATCTCGATCGATACTGCCAAAGCATTAAAATTTAGTCAATTAGTTGCTCAAGGAACAGTCTTAGATTCAATTCGAGCCATCGAAGCACAGACAACATTAACATGGAACGATTTGTAAAATAAAGCGACATTCTATCAAGATGCGATTTTATACATAGTCTTTTCTTTTTCCGGAACACAGCATTCCCGTATTAGTCTTTTCTTTCGGTTTTATTTCATTCGTATTGCTTTGTAGAATAAAATAAAAATATCAATATTGAATATGATTATTAACACGTAATGAATCAGTGAAATGAATTTTCAAGAAAGTCGTAATTGAATCAAAATGTTACATATGTAGGTAATTTCGAAGGCGTATCTATCTGTCGATACGTATCGCGATATGGGTATGAGTGAAGAATATGACGTAATATCCTTTCATATATATTCTGACCTCATTGTCGAACTTTTGAACTCGAACAGGCGTGCGAGATGATGGTAAGTATGCAGTAAAGATGTTCACGGGATGGATTTCATACTTTGTTTTCGTACGTTCTTCTTTTTTTTTTATTATTTTTCGTATCTTGAAAACAACAAACAACAAAACAAAAGGTTTTTACATTGAATTTGTTGTTGTAGTCGGTTGATGTTTATGAACGTGGTCGTTCTTTCTTTTCTCGGTACAATGCCCATAATGAGACATTAGCAACTTTAACAACTTTGAAACGGACACCCNCATTTAGTTTTCAAATCGAATGAACTTGAAGATGAACTATGTTTGAACGATTACAACATCGAAGCTGGTACGACCATCAAACTTGTCTTAGCCATGCGCGGTGGACCTGTTAATACAAAACGTGTCCCGATCGAAGATAATCTCATCCGAGATATGTCTGAATTCATTGAAAATAGTCGAGATGATTGTGATTTAATCCCATCATCGTCATCATCGAACAAGAATGTTACATTTCTTGTCTTACGTGATGGTGATCAGTTCAATTTTTTTCAAGTTATTGATCGAGGTGATGGAACACTCTCGCCTCTATCAGCTTCAATGAGGTAACTTTTTGCATAGAAGTAGTACAGAAGTTTTCCTAATGACAAAGATGAATGTTTCAGTGCAGCACCTATGTACAATACTCATGAGACGTTGACGATGGGATCCGAATCCGAATCCGATCAAAAGCGGCAGGACGATGACCGGAAAACAAAACAGAAGATGGACCTAATCCGATCAAAACTAAAAACGCACGCACGAAAAGTAAGATTCTTCCTCTAAATTTAATCACAAATCGATTTGGGAACAGCATTGTCAGAGGGATAGCATTGTTAAATATTATTCATTGATAATCTCAAGAGAATTTGCTTCAAAAGCAGACACTAGATGGTTATAGACTCAGATGATTTTCTCCATGACCTTTCATTTTTATGATTTCCTACTTATAAGTATACTCATATACACTTCTTTCAAGGATATTCTTCTTCCGCCTCGACCACCTTCTACCTCCAAGTCAACGAAGTCAAATCTAATACAGTATCATCATCGTCGAACGGTGCCAATAGAAGCCACATCAACTATCACACCAGCATTGAAACAAACACAGATTCGCTCGTTGTCTTATTCATTTTCTACGAATATTTTTAATCCGTATAATTTATTATCAACAGCAAACATCAATCGAACGAATTTGTTGCACGAGGAAGACAGCGAAGATGACGATGATAGTCAAGATGAAGACAACGACGATGACGATGACGATGAAGATGATGATGATGATGCCGAGGATCAGAAATTATCATCGAAACAGATCTTCGCTGCAAGATCGTTTTCACCATCGTTTTACTACCAGAAAAAACACCATCACCATCACCACCACCATCATCATCATCACCATCATCATACAACGAAAAAACTGTTCAATCAGGAGACAGCAACGACAACGACAGCCGCGACCGATGATACAGTTGGTAGTAATACTGTTCTAGTGGATTACGTTCATCGTATGTCACCTACGATACCTATTGTATCTATGTCGTCACGAATTGCGTCAGCGCCGAAGTATTTCAACAATTCCGATGAACCGATTAGCTCCGACGAGAAAAATGATTCAACAAATGAAATTCTCTATCAGCACTCACATACGTCTCCGACGCTCGAATCAATTGATGACGAAACGATCTCTTCAACCAACAATACACGAAAACCGACAGCTGATCTTCACAGTCGAAATGAAACATCGTTGAGTAAGCCAACGTGGACAGATGACGATGAACAGATCAATGTTTCCGATGAGTACATACCTGGTGAACGAACATCAACAAGTCAGTCGATGGCGCTCTCGCAGCAAAATAACCCAACCGAAACGACAACAATTTCGACATTACCACAGCTAGTGAAAAAATCGACTTTTCCCTCCACAACCCAACAATTCTATCATCGTCATAAACCGTCAAATTTCGATCAGACTCAATCGAATAAATCAGTACCACAACCGTTAGAACCTTTGAAATTAGCGAAATATCGACGAATATCATCGAATGTACATTTATCAACATCGTTACAGCCTCAGACATTGATCGGTGCTACTACAACGAATTCTTCCAATGAACTCATCAATAGTAATAATAGTACAGATCCTTTCAATGAACATTTGATGCTTAACAAGCGATTCGAAATATTGAAAACACCTGGCAAACAACAATCAACGACTCCGCTTACTGCTTCTTCATTGTCGAATGCAACTTGTCCACTTGCACCACCGCCGCCTCCTCCTTCCAAACGACATTTTGCTCAACAAAATATCAAACCTGTCGCTACGAACACAACGGCGTCTTCATCTCTGATACCCATTGATAGTACTAAAGTCACAATCGGTAAGTACGCTGGTCTCGGGAGACAAGCTCTGTATCGTCTTGATTTAGAAACAATTGGTTCCAAAACTGTCTCTGCTCTTCTTCGTCAAAATGCTACTATCGAACCTGTTGATACTTCCCGAGGTGTTGGCAAGCACCTCGTATCATTGCTTACAACTGCATCGAAAGAAACAAGTTCAACGAAAACTAGTAAATCATTTCTTAATCTTTAGTTTCGACCGTGAATAATTCTTTCGTTTTCTAACAGGTTACAAACAACCGTCACGTGATGCAATCATCGACGAACGCTTCAAAGTAATTCTTTTCGAACAAAGACGAAAATTCTCATTCGTTTGTTTTCATTAGTTGGATTCGAAGTTAACCAATTCTTTTTCATCGAATGTCACCGCTACGACTAGTAACAGCAGTACATGTAATCCAAATAGATTACCACCTGTCATCATCAATCGCAAATCGACATCGAAATGCTTTCTCTGCAAGAAGAAAACCGGACTGGCAACAACATATCAATGCCGGTAAGAAATCTACCGTTTTCCATCACAATAGTCTGTCAATTGATTCGTTCGATTTTAGATGTGGAAGTTCATTTTGCAGCGAACATCGATATCCGGAAGCTCATGCTTGTGCATTCGACTATAAAGCGGAAGGCAAACGTTTGATTGAACGAAACAATCCATTGGTTACCGCTCCAAAGCTACCGAAGATCTGATTGCGTTTATTTTCGTTCTATTTGTCCTGATTTACTGATATATCATACACGTATCCCTCCGTTTCCTTTTGCATATCTGTGCAACATGAATTTGTTTTCGTTTTTCGATAATTAACCGTTTATGTGTGCGTGTGCGTCTACCTTTTTCTTTCTTTCCATTAAGCTTGAGCTTGTGCTTTATTTTGCTTCTTTTGTATCTATATTGAATTGAAACATATACATATTCTTTTGCATAAGCAAAGAATCGTGCGAATGACTCGCGAGAACAGTAGACAACAATAACAAAACCCTAAGCCTCCTCGTGCTGAACAGTCTCGCTCGAGGATGAGTCATACTTGAAAGATATTTTTGTATAAAAACCTCTGTAAGATCATCTTCATTCTCGAAAACAAAAATGCATTTATGGTTCTGTTTTTCCTTTTGCTTCCTTCCGGTTTCTATTTCTAGCAACGCGTTCTTCGTTTCTCTCTCTCTTGTTTGTTTTCTTCGTCTTCTCTTCTGCTTGCTAGTAATATTGACCGAACCAAATATTCACTCATTTATATTATATGCGAGCAAAATATATTCTGTATCATATTCACGTAGATGTGTCTACGACTGAACGCCGACAATTAACGATGATGATAATGATGGTGGTGAAAAAACGAAATATTGAATAAAGAAATTGTATTTGTTTTTTTTTATAATGAACTCATCAATCGGAGTACTTTTTCCATCTCTAGATGACTGGCTCACGTCTCCTTCTAGATTGCGATGATGGTCTAAGAACTGTGCAAAGACTTCGATCGAGAGGTAGTTCGATGTTGTAATCCAAGGTCTATTGTTGATTAGGATATGAAACTTTCATAGAGATTCTCAAGAGAAATCAAAAGCATTGATGCATGTCTGTCGTTTTATTGTTGTTGTTTTGTGATCATATCAAAAGAAAACTTTTGACATGTGCTGAACGTATATCATTGGATGAACATAGATTACTAGAAAAACAAACACCGTAAGTATTCAGGTACTTAATCTTCTTCATATGGCTTCTATAAATGTCACAACGGTACGAAAATTAGATTGTATTTCATCCCGATGATTAATCATTTTTGTCGTCCATATATAATTTTATTGAGAAGCAAAAGTTTATTTTCAAGCAAATCAATCTTGACACGGCGGATGTGAACGAAACGAGCGTTGTAGACGCATACAGCTGATGTCTTTCATTACATCGACACTCGGATGTTTGTTTCTATCGAATCGACGAACGTGTTAATTTCATTTGCTTAGATCATCAACAACTGTGGTTAATATGAGCAAAAATCAAGAAAAGAACTTTTGAACTCTGCCCGCTTGTCATCATTCGCTATTATTTATTGATTTCATAAAGTGGCAAATCGATTTTTCTGTTTAATGTATAAGTTACTTCGTCATATAAGATGACATTGTTTCCACAAAAATGAACAGAACACGTTTAGTTTCCTTGAAATTAATCAGATTCTGTTCTGCACGAGAGTCTTTTCTATGCTAATAAAGTGAAAGCAAATTGACGTGAGAAGGATGGAAAAGAAAACTAGGGAGGTTAAAAAAGAAAATATCGTCCGGAAATGAAAACGCAGAAAACGACTTGTTATAATAAAAAAAAAGTGTTATTTATTTTGCATTCGAGCTTTTCTATCATCTATCAATTATGACAATTCAAGACAAGCATCTAGTCAGCAATTAGAAAAAGTTTTATTCATCATGAAAATAGAATAATAGAATTCGATATCAGTACTTGTAATGATTGGTCGTCTCTTGTTATTTTCAAGTTGTCCTCTTCAATAGCATCGAGTCCTGACGACTTCTTATTAATTAGATATATGTTATATTTATGATCTCGGTCGGTGGGTCTCGTCTTCGAAAACAATTCTAGTTTTTTTGCTTTCAGAGACCGGCTGTTCTACAAAGAATTGATGCTTATTAAAAGAAAGCAGCGTTACATTGATTTTCTCTCTCTCTCTCTCTTTTTTTTTTCATTCTATTTCCTTCGTCTTCCTCTTCTCTCGGATATGTTGCCTTGTTTCGCATCTTTGGAACGTTTTCTTTTTCTTTTTCCTAGGCATGTTCATGAATAGTGACACAAGTTTTTCCTCTTTTCTTCTACCAGAACGTTTTTTATCCTTTCTCACCAAAACAACAACAACATGAAGATCAGTCAGACCATCGTAATCCAGTGGCGTTTTTTTTTCTGTCGATTAATGAAATTCGATTGATTCTCGTGGGTCGACAGGAGATTAGATGAAAAAGACATTTACGCATTTTAATCATCAAGCCGATTTTCTAGATAAAATGTCAACTGCAGCCATGCAACTCGTAGCGACGAAATGTCCTACTGATGAACTGTCGTTTACGAATTGTGCAATTGTCAATGAGAAGGATGTTGACCCACGACGTATACGGTAAGTTTCTCGTCACTTTTGAAAAGAGAAGATCGTTGTTACTCGAGTGTAATAGACATATTGAATTATCATCGAACGTAGCAAATGGAAAATTCGTGTTTACAGTCGTGCCGTTTGGCCCGATGCCCCAAGGCAAAATTGGTTTCAATACTTTACAAGTAGGGTATTTTAATCGTGCTTGATCTAATGTGGTATAGTTGGGTTTCGAATTTTAGCGACGATGGGCGGGAATTGAACTCGATCGAGCGTATCATATTCGTCCGTATACATTCGATAAGAATGTTCAGTCGATTGCAACACTTATTCTCGAAGTGGATTTCTTGAACAAGAAGAAGTAGGATAGATGATAAAATTCTCTTTGTCGATCTATCGCGTTTGTCACTTTAGTACAACAACAGATCCGTACGATACCGATAAAATGGCTGTTGAGTTTTTGCAACAGTATATTGATCATGCATTTTCTGTTGGTCAATGTGTATGTAATTCAAGAATGATATATGAAAGAGCTTATAGAAGAAACGGATCTTTGTTTTAGTTACCATTTCAATTCATGGATAAGAAAACTTTGACGCTCGCTGTTAAAGATATCGAAGGTACGACTGAATTTTGATGGTGAAAGATTAGACGATCGAGATTTTTTTGTCTGTCAAACAGCTGTCGATTTATCTGCGGTTGCTCGTGGACAAAATACCAAAGCTCGAAAAATTACACTCGGTGTTACATTAGCGAATTCGATGGTTGTTTTTGAACGAGCCGAAGGTTCATCTATCAATCTCGCTGGAAAGTCCAAAGGGTAAGGCTTCATTAAGCTATGTGAATGTTTGTTCTATCTGGGACATGAGTAGAAAATCTCAATTTGTTTCGATCATCAATCCTGATTTTGATTTCAAAACTATGGGAATCGGCGGTCTTGATGCAGAATTCAATGCTATTTTTCGTCGTGCATTTGCATCGCGAGTGTTTCCACCGGAAGTTGTATATCAACTCGGTAATTGCTTAGCAAGGAACATGATAATTCCTATGATGCGTGTTGTATGTTGTCAGGTATGAAACATTGCCGCGGAATTTTATTGTATGGTCCACCAGGAACGGGAAAAACTTTGATGGCTCGGTATGCTCTAATTTTGGATAAGTTCAAAATTTAGAATGCTCTTTGTAGACAAATTGGCAAGATGTTGAATGCACGAGAACCGAAGATTGTCAATGGTCCACAAATTCTGGATAAATATGTTGGAGAGTCCGAAGCAAATATACGTAAATTATTTGCCGAAGCGGATGACGAAGAAAAACGAGTAAGTGAAACAAATATGAGGCACGTTTTATTCATTCAATCATGAGAATACTTCTTCAGCTTGGACCTAATAGTGGTTTACATATCATCATTTTCGATGAAATCGATGCAATTTGCAAAGCTCGTGGTTCGGTGGTAAGTCAAAAACGTAATTTATTATTTAGTTTCTCAATTAAGATGATTTGCTTGATCTAGGGTAGTAGCGCTGGTGTTCACGATACAGTTGTTAATCAATTACTATCGAAAATCGATGGTGTTGATCAATTGAACAATATTCTCATTATTGGAATGACGAATCGTCGTGATATGATCGATGAGGCCCTTCTACGACCTGGTCGACTTGAAGTACAAATCGAAATTGGTCTACCCGATGAAAATGGTCGATTGCAGATCTTGAATATTCATACGAATCGTTTACGTGAACACAATAAATTGAGTTCGGATGTTGATTTGAAGGAATTCGCTGAATTGACAAGAAACTTCAGTGGAGCAGAATTAGAAGGCTTAGTTCGAGCAGCAATGTCGTTCGCGATGAATAGACATATTAAAGTAAGTAATTTTTACATAGGGTTTTGAAACTAAGCTTGCCGAGTTTTTGTAGGCTGGGAAAAAGGTGGAAATCGATCCGGATGCAGCAGATAAATTAAGAGTGTGTCGAGCTGATTTTATGCACGCTTTTGAAAATGATGTTAAACCGGTATGAAAATTGATTTGAATTTGAGATAAGATCTCTAATTATCATTCTCAAGGCATTTGGTGTCAGTAAAGAAGAATTCGATTCGTACATATCCAATGGTATTATCGTATGGGGACAACCAGTCACTGATGTTCTTGATGAAGGTCAATTACGTATTCGACAAACAGTTAAAAGTGAATTGACACCACTTGTTACAATACTAATTGAAGGTATGATGGAGAAAATTTATGTACGATCTTCATTATTTTTATTCTGTTTTGCCTAGGCCCACCTAATAGTGGCAAAACTGCTTTGGCTGCTCATATTGCTCTTCTATCGAAATTCCCTTATTTGAAGTTTTGCACTGCCCAAACAATGCTTGGTTTTTCCGAACTAGCCAAATGTCAACAATTAACAAAGATCTTTCAAGATGCACATAAATCTAGTCTATCATGTACGAGCAAATATCTTCGTTCTATGCTAATATTTCATTCTGTTCTCTTAGGCGTGGTTGTCGATGAATTGGAAACTTTACTTGAATATGCTCCTGTTGGTCCACGTTATTCGAATAACGTTTTACAAACAATGAAACTATTGTTCAAACGTCCGCCACCAAAAGGTCGAAAATTACTAGTCATTGCAACAACAACTTATCGTGATATTCTTGATCAACTCGGTTTATTAGCTTCGTTTTCTAAACAGATACACATTTCAAATATGAGCACAGGTCAACATATTCTTCATGTTCTAAACGAGATCGAACATTGTTTCAGTGACGAAGAAATGAAATATCTTGAAAAGAAATTACACAATAAAAAGTAAGATCGATTTCAAACGCAATCTCAGATAAATCTGATTTTTCTTGTAGGTTATTCATTGGAATCAAATCATTACTTGATTTAATCGAAGTTGCACGGCAAGCAGATGACAGCTCACGTGTAGCACGTTTTCTTGGACAGTTAGAAGATGTTGCTGGCATGGTTTAAACAGAATTCATTCTCTCACTCTGTTCCATTCTTCTTTCTCTTATCTGTTACCTTTATCAGTGTCGTTTGTTTGTGCAATAAAAAAAAGACGCAAGTCTTCATTCTCTGCTTCTTCTCTTTATTTACTAATGATGTGTTATTAGTTGGTCATAGAATTTTTATCGTTCGTTTTCTTTTCTTTCTAGTCAATTTGCTCCATGTTTTGTATATGAAAAAGAGCAAATGACAATTTCCATTCGTACGATCTCTTTTTTTGTAAAACTTCATTCCTCTTTGTCATTACCAGTGTTCTCATTTATGCAATTGATTCCATGCCTATTTTCTGTAGTGTATTTGTATGCAGTTTTGCCTGTGTAGATAGACGACCTTTTTTTTCTACCCTACTGTGCTCTTTCTCTTTTAGATCAATGGAAAAATTTGCGATTACACTGATAATAGTAACTGTATTCTGGGGCCTTATTGGAATTGTTCTACCCTTTCTAATTCCTAAGGGACCACATAAACGGTAAGAAATTTCTTGACGAACTCTTTCTCAATGATCTAACTCTTCATTCTAGACTTGTGCAAATCATGTTAGCATTAACATCAGCATGTTGTTGGATGTTGTAAGTGAAATATCGCTGTGATAACTAATTGACTTTGTTTTTGTTGTTTGTAGTTGGTTGTGTTTTTATCTCCATCAATGGAAACCGCTTTTCGGACCGCAAATTGAAAGTACTCATGCACGTATGCTACGCACTATTTGGGGACAAGAATTATAAAGTGAATTCATCAATCCAACCGTCTATTTCTTCTACATTTATATTTATTTTTTGTCTGACGAATAAATACATGTTTTTCTATTCTTCTTGTATAACGAATAATCTGATTGCCCTTCGCCCTCTTCTATGATTACTATTTTATTTATTCGTTCTCTCGCCATCTGGATATGCATAGACGATGGATGAAGAACATGTTTTTTTTCTCTTGCACTCGTTCGTTGTCTCGTTGGCAAAAACGAACTGTTTATTTTTCTTTATATCTCGTAAAATTTAAGATATGAACACTAATTTTAGCGGACCAAAGCTTTTTACATTTGTTCTTTCTCGAGAACATGGTTTAGCTGCTGGAGTAGCTATATCATCATGGTTCGCCTTGCAATACATGGGCATGGGTGTAATGAAAGCACGAAAACAGTAAGTCGTGCGGATTAAAGAGGCTGAATAGTTAGTTATGTTGCTTTTTTCACTCAGATATAATGTCGAATATCCAAAACTCTATGCCAGCGAGTCAGATCCGAATGGAAAGAAGTTCAATTGTACGTATATTGTTGTGTTGATGATCAATATTCGATTCTGCTTTCGTAGGCGTGCAACGTGGCCATCAAAATACCTTAGAAGTCTATCCTGAGTTTCTTCTCATGTTAGGTCTAGGTTCAATTCGATATCCACTTATATCCTCAATCGGTGGAGCCATTTGGTTACTTGGACGAATAGTCTATTTTCAAGTATGATCAATGTTTGCTTTGTTGTCTGGTTTTTAAATGTCGCTTTGTTCCAGGGTTATTCAACTGGTCAACCTGAAAAACGTCGTTATGGTTCATTTGGTTATTTAGGATTATTTACAATGATGGGCTGCGCTATTAAAACAATTTATGATTTAGTTCGGGCATAAATGTACATATATACGCAGGATTAAGAAAATCAAGCTCAGTCAAAATTAAAGAACATATCATGTCGTTTGAATCGACATATATCAAAATTTCGTATATCGGATTAAATGTGGTGTATGGATCTTTTTTCTCTCTTTTTTAGAATAAAATCGTTGAACAAGATCAAATGAATACTATCTTGTTGATCTATTTGAAAGCGATGGATATGATACTACAAACGACATGAATTTATGAAATACCGTTTGTTTGAAAATGAGAGAACAGATAGAAACGAAAGAAACAAATGTCAACGAGTTTCCTCTTCAGCTGAAAGACAAGGAACCGGAACATATGAAACAACTCCCACTTTTTTCTGTAATTTTCAACGAGGCTACTTTATTGTTATCTTTTATCGAAACAGCTCAAGAGCGAAATAGACAAACAAGAGAGAGAGAGACTATATACAGCGAATGAGCAAGAAAATGCACATATGATATAGAAAGTTGTCACTATTGTGCAGTATGTCATTTGCTGTCGATAATAAACAAAATCTACCCGAATCCAATAATATACTTTTTGCTCCTCTCACACAGTCCACCTCTTCGTCTTCATCAGCCACTCTCTGGACGGCTATCACTCTACTAAAAAAAACTCTACATTCTCTCACAACAACAACAGCAACACTCAATCGATTTCATCACTATCCTTGCATCCTTCACTCTTGCTCACAAATATCAACACTCACAAACACACATCCTCGACTATCATCTCATTGCTCACACCTTCAACATCCACGACATCCAACTCATTCATGTAAGTCCATCTCCATCTCTCTCTCCATCCTCATACCTTGTTCTGTCTCATGATAGGATGGTGAAGTTGCACTTCTCGAAGCTCTCTCCTATGACATCAGCGTGCCAACACCTGATGACTTCTTTTCCTACTTCTCCAATCTGGCTAACAACACTGATCCGAAAATCAAAACAATCATTGACGAAGCTCGCCTTGCACTCTCGTCGCCCTCTCTTCCACATCAAACATTCGGTAAGTCAAAAGAAGAAGAAGCGAATGTGCATATAGTATTGGTTGTCTTGTATTTAGGTGTTCTTCATAACTATTCACCGAGTGTGGTAGTGCTTTCTGTCATGTACAATTATTTGACATCGAATAGTTGGATGAGTGAACAAGTGAAGAAGATTATTATTGGAAAGAAAGATGGTGATCAGTATGTTGTAAGTGATTTTGATGTGTATAGATTTGTGATTATATGGTGATGTTTATTTTAGAAACAACTAATTCATTGTATAGCTCAACTTCAAAGTGTAATGACTTCATGATGATGACCTCATCAATGCGGCTTATTTCACCTTCTGCACACAGTAATGAAGTGATTTCTAGTGTTGTGTTTCTTGTCAGCTATTGAATATGTATAGCTATATCCATTTTTCGAATGAATACAATAAAATTAGCTCTTATATGAAAGAGTGAGTTGCTCAATAGATGTCATCATGACACACATGATTGCAGTGATTGTTTGTTTAGTATGAATGCAGAACTAAGACTGAATTGATTTATGTATGATGGAAATATTATTCATACAACTAGTAAGTCATTAATAAGACTGTAAGTTGCGTGTCTCACTCATTCGATGCGTCGATTCAGACGAGTGAAAATTACATGAAAGAAGAAAAATTGACCTTGCATGGTATTGAATAGGTCGGTAGACATTATTCATCATGTTTTTGTGTTGATACAACGTTAAACGAAGGAAACGACACTCACCATTCTTTTACGATTTCAAAACTGTAATAATTTCTCTCGGCAAATAGAACGAAAAGGAAGAACGTAATTCATAGATACATAAAAGAAAGAAAGAACGGACTATAAAAATTTTATTCATGTATTTCAATGTACGCAACTATTGGATAAGATATAGAAAGAAAAAAGTCGGAAGAGTAGTTTCTTTTTCTGCCCTACACAAGAAGGTACACAACGGTTTATTCCAACTTTGTCTCTATAAAAGCTTGGACGACTGTAACAGTTGTAGCTTCTGAAGTAAGATATTCAATTTGCAGTATATAATTTATACTATGAATATGTCCCGATCAGATTATAAGAATCAACAGAGGAATAGTTCCTCTTATATTTATCCGCAACTGAACCATCACCAACATCATGTATCAGATGACGAACGCCCGGCCGGTTTCGAGAAATTTATTCGCCGCTACGAAAGTTAGTTTCATCTTTACAAGAATATTCCTTGAAAGAATGTATAACTAAATGAATTCTAGTTAATGCCACTTTTGCTTCGAAATTACGTGGTTTGGATGGATATGAAATTGTTGTAATTTGTGATGACTCGGGATCAATGAATACTGAACTCAGTATGTACTCTGAGTCGTTTCATTTTAAGATAATGACTCATTTTTTAATCATTTTAGGTGATGTCTCTGGTCCATACGGTCAAGCTCCAACACGCTGTAAGGATTCGATCAATTATTCACTGCAATGAATCTTATTTTCATTTCACAAACAGGGGATGAATTGAAACACACTGTGTCGATTGTCGTCGATCTCGCTAGTGTACTTGATCCTGATGGTGTTGACATTTATTTTCTTAATCGTGAACCCATATTCAATGTTCGTAGTTCACAAGAACTGATTCCATTATTTTCTATTCCACCTGAAGGTATGACTGCGTCCTATGAAATGTAGAAGTAACTTTTTTGCGAGAAAATGTTCAGGTCCAACGCCGATTGTCTCAGTTCTACGACAAGTCCTTCGCGACAAGGAAAAACAGATTGCTGAAAGAAAGTTGTTAGTGCTTCTCGCAACTGATGGGGTTCCGACAGACAATCAAGGTCATCCAAATATTGATAAACTAAGACGAGTTCTTAAATACGAGCGCTCTCCAAGCGAACGAATTCCAGTGACAATTATTGCTTGCACAGGTAAATATTTTATCTCACGGTAGCAATACGCAAGCATCACATTGACGGAATCATCGTTTTCTTTGCGCAATAGATGATGATGAATGTATGTCATACTTGAACGACTGGGATGTAACTATTCCAAATCTGGATGTAGTCGATGATTATAAGAGTGAAAAGAAGCAGATTTTAGAATGCCAGGGACGATCTTTTCCATTTAGTTTTGGAGACGTAAGTGACTGTAAATGAAACATATCCAATCATATTTTGTTATTTAAGTATGTGGTAAAGATTATGATGGGTGGTGTGGATGAATGGTTCGATCAATTGGATGAGAAGAAAGTGTCATTGGATAATTATGGACGGTACGGACTCAATACACCAACGCAAGGGAGAGGTTCAAGTCAATACACATCAACGAGTGAGTATTAGTCTCAGATATTGGTAATCTAAATCTTTTGTTTCTTTCAATAGAATCACCCTATACGTCACAACCAGTAACATCAAAACAGAACCGTAATTTCTATTGATCTCTCTATTTTTTTGTACATTCCTAAAACTCATATCATTCAATGTTTAAAGTAAACCTATCCCTATCACAAGTGCTCTTCATCTTCAAAGGGTTATTTCGTTTACATTCATACCGACACGGCATCATGACATCATCTAACTTCTATATGACTGTTGTTGGAAAGTGTTAATTCTTTCAAGTACAGTCGCTTCCTATTTTCTTCTCAATTATTGACCTAATATATTACAGTCATAATACCATATCTAACCAGTTCCTGAAGCTTTGAAATCGAATCCATCCGTCGATATATTCTATATAAACAAGTAGATTTGCTCGACTAAATTTTGTGAAATAGACAAATCAGGATGCAGATATGATTCTTGTTTATTCACGCTTATGAGACTATAAACAAATTGATTTGTAAAGGATTGGCAATGTTGTTCATTCAGCAAGTGGATCATCAACACAACAGCTATCAATAAACACCATGTTGTCATCCACCCATCCACAAACAAATCTAATCGATCATCAACTTGGTAAACACACATACACAAGTGATTNAAATTTTGTGAAATAGACAAATCAGGATGCAGATATGATTCTTGTTTATTCACGCTTATGAGACTATAAACAAATTGATTTGTAAAGGATTGGCAATGTTGTTCATTCAGCAAGTGGATCATCAACACAACAGCTATCAATAAACACCATGTTGTCATCCACCCATCCACAAACAAATCTAATCGATCATCAACTTGGTAAACACACATACACAAGTGATTTGAATTCATGCAAATGTGTGATGAGACTAATCAACCGAAGGCGACGACGATGATGATGAGTTTGCGTCCTAGATTCCTCGTACAGCGAGCTCATCAATTTGAGGTGTGAACGAGACGTCTCCATTGCGATATTTTTTATAAAATTTCTCAATGTTCAAGTAAAAGCATACACTTGTATGGCTCATTAGTATTGTATTGAACGAAAACAGATAAGTTGTTTTGCATTGATAAACAGTTAAACTGTCTAGAGACGCACAAGGAGGTCTGAACCACAGGAATGCTCAATAAGGCATGATGAGAACAGGTCAACTTAGTATGAGACTGGTGATAAACATATGTAGATGCTAATCTCTCATGGGTCATCGATCGAAACATACAATTTCAATTAAATGGTGCGATATGGAAAAGTGATTTTTTTCCCCTCTTCCTTTCCTTCGTTCCCCCTAGATGATATCGTTTCATAATTAGGTGATTATTATCCCTCGTTCAGTGACGATTAGGTATCCATACGTAGCAGTCATTATTCCAATAGATTGATTTCACTGACTACTTTAACGGACCGAGTATCACTTCACACCTGAGAATAGATATGAATTCTAACTTGTTATTAACTGGAAATTTATCGAAACAGTGAAGACATCGATTGCTTCGAGTAGATAAAAAATAATTATCAGCAATATTGTTATGTAGTCGAAATTGGTTTCATTATTTTCAAATTCGAATATGTCAAGCAGATGCTATCTAGCTATCTTGAATTTATCATCCCATTAGAATGAATATGTATCTTATAGAAACAGCGATGACATCATCGTGTTATTAATTTTTGTTCTACCATTGAAATGTTTTGCATTCTCTTGTCATTAAACTGTCATTACAATGAAGTCACATCTCATTTCCGAGTTGTCCTATGTGTGAAAATATCTTCATTCTATCGTACGTATATCGCGTCATTACCGTGACATCATAATAATTTTCACTCATCTGCCAGTCGAAACTTTCCTAGCGTGTCAGGAGTGAGTGAGTGAGCGAGCGAACTAATCCATTCGATTTCATTGTGTTTATTTGTACCTTTGTCATGATCATGATTTATGATGGATAAAAAGAGTTGAGCGGCGAGCAATGTGTCAAAGTCGCTAAGAAGAGAACAAATTCAAAAACGAGCGCATCGACGCGTGCCGAACAGGATGAAAGATTGCAAAGGATAAAGATAGATAGAGAAGAAAAGGAGGAGCGAATGAGATGGATATTGATATAATGAACATGCAAGCAAAGCATGATTGAAAAGTAAATAATGACGTATGATTTCTTTCAAAAGATCAAAGAATGAAATGAACTCATTTATAGCTTGTTGTCTGCAGGCACGCTAATGTTCTAAACATCTATACATCTATGCCATATTCCAGGTTTTCCTATCCGAAAACTAATTTCTCAGTCTCATCCTATTGAAAAAGCGTTACTTCAGTTTATTCAACACATACATCTCGAAGATGTGCTAAAACAGCTGATCCGAAGAGAGAACAAGCGAAAGAGAGAGTGATCTCGATCGCCATTGGTCAGTTCCTGTCTCTTCTTTCCTTCCTCTTCTCTTTCACAACTATAAATACACATCATCGTTCCTACCTTTTCATCATTCATTTCGAATAACTTGCTCAACATGATTTCATCTGCCTTCGCTTTTACATCTGATCAATGTGTACAAGCTGCAGCTGATCCACAATTATCGTCAGCTGAAACACATCTTCTTGCTACTCTTCTCTCACAAGAAGATCAACTTCACTACCATCAAATCAATAACATCCAACTTCCACAACACGTTCTCTACATTCTACATCAACTTACCTTCACNCGAAATGAATGAAGAAAAGGTAGAAAGGATGGTGTGTATTTATATTGTCCGAAGAGAAAAGAGAATATACATGTTCAAAACAGTTGATCTACACGGATAGATGATACGTCATTATTTACTTTTCAATCATTCTTCGGTTGCTTTTCGTGTTCTCGCTTTATGTACCTCTTAGTCTATATGATCTTTCATCCTGTTCGGCACGCGTCGATGCGCTCGTTTTTTAAATTTGTTCTCTTCTTAGCGACTTTGACACATTGCTCGCCGCTCAACTCTTTTTATCCATCATAAATCATGATCATGACAAAGGTACAAATAAACACAATGAAATCGAACGGATTAGTTCATTCACCGCTGACACGCAAGACATGATATAGAGATGATAGTTGTCCATCTGTTAGCTTTGGTCCATTTTGGATCCCATCTGTTCGTATTCACGTTGTAGAGATTTGAGAGTCTCTATAAGTAAAAGAATATGTCAGTTATCGGACGGAATTCTAGTGAAGAAGAGGTATGTATACCATGACAGTTTTTCAGCGCAGTGTCTTTATCACTTTTGAAAAATACTAAGCTACCTGGTTGTTGAACATAAACTTTCTGAAAATAGTTAAGTATGAAAATTATGATACAATTTTGTCTATAGAAAGGATATTTACACGTCCAGTTTTCAATGCTTCTAATTCATGTCGTAGAACATTGGCAGCTTGAATCTAAACGAATGAAAATCGTCGTGTCAATGATTGCTGTCGTGTGACTGGGAGACAAGTAAGAAGCGTATAGATCTTTGGCTGACCTTAGTTTGGGTATTTGTAGATGCGGAAGACATTGTATAAAACAAATCTGTTTATGTCTAGAAAAGATAACTTTTAGTTATCATTATTTCAAGTATTGTATTTTGTTTTATGAGAAGATGAGTAGTGTATATTAATTACAAACAACGGGAAAAAATACACAATACAAAATCAAATCTTTTGAACAATGTTAACATAAACAAGATAGTCTGAATTTTCAAGAAAAAAAAACTTTTATTTCACTTTTGCTTTTTTAGCTGAACTACCAGCAGGTTTCCCTTTCGGTTTAGCTTCACTTGCTGGTTCGATTTTACGTTTCAAACCTTTAATGGTGACAATCGGAGCCTCCTAAACGAAAATAGAAAGATACGATACATGTTTGCAAACGATTTCAACATACAGATTTCTTCGGACTCGATGTCTTTGCTGTTACTGTACGAGATACGGTAAAGAACTTGTCTAGACGGCCTTGTTGGGTCGTTGATCGAGCTTTGGCCAACTTTTTCGAACCATTACGAATACGTTCTTCGCTAAAAGAAAAGAAACTTTTTCTCGTATTCAAAACTAATATATCATGCAGAGAATTTGTCGACTGGCGAAGGACATCTATTCTATAGATGGCTTCCGACGACATTATCCGCCCACCGTCAGCTCATGAATTGGTTGGCTTTTTAAATTGACGTAAATACTCAAGTAAAAGTGTAATCTGCTCTTTCTATACTTTCAAGTGAATCATCTCATATTTTGCTCGTGCTAGACAAAAGCATAGCTATATAAGAGAGTGTATTGTTACTACATTGTACTCAATCGTTATTAAAAATACTATGATGGCATCACCTTATTTTGTCAAAGTTTATTTCACCAAACAACAACAACAACAACAACCTGAAATCCGTCGATTTGCCGTAGGTTTACATATAGTTTCTATAGATAGATTTATCTTGAGCAAATGTTTTTTTTTCTTCAGATTGATATTTCGCCCGAGAACAATATTTATCAAGAATTATGTACAAAAATCGCAACATTACAACCAGACATACAATTGCATGGTTTCACTCTTCAGTATATCGATGATGAAAGCGAACGCATTACATTTAGTTCAACGGAAGAATTACGCTCTGCAATATCTACGAACAAAGATACAAATGCCTTGAAGATCTTTGTTACTGCCAATCAACCGGCAGCTACTACTTCGAATAAGGAACAGCACGTCGGTGTTGATTGCGACGGTTGTGATGGTCCAATTTTTGGTGTTCGATACAAATGTGTTATATGTTCAAACTATGATTTATGCGAAAACTGTTCATCGACAGGTCTTCATTCGGAACACAACATGATTAAAATATCGAAACCAACCAATCTTTATCATCCGTACGGTTTTCGTCAACATCATCGTCGACATCGCTTTTCACATCCAACGCCTACACCTCCAACTCCACCGTTCACTCCTAATAGCAGCTTTTTTGAGCAAATCCAAGCACAAATCCCTCAATGGTTACCCAATCGCGAGCATGCTGCTCATCTTCGCACACATATGCAACACCATTTCGATAATATCAAAACCCAAACCCAAACCCAAATGCAACATTCTCGACACTACTTAGAGAACGTTGGGCAGTATATACAGCAAGCTTTATCTCCACTCGGCATTGACTGCGATTTTCGTGTTGATGGACAGCCACCATCAACAAGTGGAAACTCTGGCCAATCCGAAGCAAGTACTGCATCGGGAACGTCGAGTGCAACAGAAACCAATCAAGAACAAAATGGAATTTCATCGATGTTAAATATGTTTCGCAGTTCGACAACTGTCAATCCGACAAGTACGTCGACTGAGCCGAGTAATTTACCGGAGAAGAACATTGAAGAATGTGTTGAGAAATTGAAGGCAATGGGCTTCGATGAAGTAGATGAAACTCTCATCGAACTCATTCGCGAAAAACAAGGTGATCTAAATTCTGTTCTGGACGAGATGAGCACGCGTCGTCAATGAAAACCGATTTCAATATTTATGTAAACATTATTTTTGCTTTTACATTTGTAAATTCTACTCCTTAGTTTTCTAATCACGAAATATAATTCAAGCGCATGCAGTTAAACGAGAAATATCTTCGTACTTACGAAAATCCTTTTTCCTTGACCATGTACGACACAAGACCCTGTTCATCTGGTTCTGTCCATTTTAACTAAATACAACGAGGAAAATGTGAAAAGAATAAAACCGATCGTATACGAACATCTGTCGCATCAGCTGGTAAGACTTCAGGTACTTTAAACAATTGTCTGGCTTGTTCGTAAGCCCAATCATCTGGTACTGCATATTTCTAATAAATTGATATATAAATAAGAGAAAGTCCAGAAGAAGATCTTCGTTATTTACTTTCTTATCGATATTTTTGAGAATTGTTTCGATGTTTCGATGTTGCTTGATCAAATCAAGCGCTCGTTTTTGACCGATACCTTTAATTGAATCACAATAATCACAGCCGAGTAAAATACACAAATCTGTGAACTAAAGAAAGAAAATACAAACTTGATTTCTAAAGAAATAAACAATCGTGTATTTTACTTCTTCAAAATTGATTCTTAAACCTTGCAAAGCTTTCGTTAACGAATATTCACGTATCGGCATTTTTCTAAACAGTCATGCAAGTCTGATTTTCAACATAACACAGTTAATCATTCACTCACCGTGCTTCACTAAAAGTTAAATGACGAACAAGAACGTCCGCACCAAATGTTAATGCCTACAACAAAAATTCTATTGCAAGAGTAGCAGTCAAGAAATTCTTGCTTACATCCATATCTTCAGTTCCAACTCCGTAAACTTTTCCTTGTTTAACAAGCGCAGCACATTCTGAATTGAAAACATCCGAAGGATATACTTATCGACAACGACAAATTTTCATCCTACGAGCTTCCGCTTCTGTTGGCGCATCAACATAAGGAACACCCATTAGTGTCAACAATCGCTTACAATCATCATTATGTTCACGAGTAACTTTAACTGTTCGACGTGCAAACTTATCAAAAGCTTCTTCATCACCTAAAAATATGCTCATCACTCTTTTCACAGACATTCGAATGAGTTTTTAGTTTACCAGCATCCGCTGCTTTGATCTTTTCAGCTTCCGCTTCGGTTCGTCGTTCAAGACGTTTTTCTAATTCCTTCGATTTCGATTGCGGTGGTTTGCCATCAAACACATACACTGGCTTAATACCATTTTCAATCATTCGAATCGTTCGATAGAACATCCCCATCAAATGACTGGTCGTTTCTCCACTATCATTTGTTAAATTTTCTCCATTCTGACGAACAGCGATCAGAAATTGATAGATAGACATGGAGCTAGAACTCAACGATAATTCAGGCTAGTCTAACTTCGACATTACTTACGCATCAATCGCAATTTTCCTTCCAAAATAGTTCACCATTTCACCTTCTTTAATCGCAGCTGGTGCTTGATCAGCAATTAATTTTGCTAAATTATGAATTCCCATGGCGTGTATATATATATATTTCTTATCAAATCTCAAAGCAAAAAAAACAAACAAACAAACAAATTCATTCATCTATTTGATCGATTATGCAAGACAACGCGAAAACAAACAATCACTTCTTGGAATTTTTCTGCGTATCATATCTCATCTTTCCATATGAAAACGGTATGTATCGATAACGAATCATATGTAATATACGTTGTCGCATTGTTAGTATAAATAACACAATGAAATAAATGACAAGCACTGGCCACATAACTGGAATGTTCAGTATTGGAATGAACGTGAGAATTAAACTAATAGCAAACGCTTTGAATGTGATATACCAGAACTTAAATTCTGGTAGACGTCGCATAAATGGTCGAAATTCTTCATTTGATCTTGTTGGTAAACTCGGCGCATGGTCGTCATCATCATCATCAGCGAATGATGGATCTTGTTTTGGTGTGAGAAATAAAAGAAATTGATTGAGTAGAAAGATGCCAAGACAGTAGGCAATGATATAGAAACCTTGTATATAAATAATTCGAACAGCGAAAACGATTAATAAGCCTAAATTCGTCAACCAGCGAGCGACAGCATATGGAGTGACACGGTCGAGGTAATACTGAATAAGAATATCTAGACGAGTAAAACTTGAGACGTTTTTATCCTGTTCCATTCGATTGAATTTCAATAACTTTGACAAAAATTGTGCAAGAGAAAGACGAATGAATTCCTATTGGTGAGAAGGATAGAGGACGCTAAAACGTGTTTTATCGAGAAAATTATTTCGCAAGAAAAATGTGCGGATTTTGATAGAATTTATTTTTTATCTAGAAAAAAATTATCCGATTACTTAAGTTTGAGACAATGATTGATCATGAGTTTCAGGGTCATTCTCGACCTATTGATATTCATCTAGAAGAATTGTAGCGTTTAACTTCGTTCTACTATCTTTTTCTTTCGAAATAACGCATTTTCTTCCTAGATTTTCATGTTTATCGACGAGAAAAAATGGAAAAATGGTTCTTTTGCTTGTATCACTTTAGATCATGGCAAAAACAGATCTCGGTGATCTTTGTGGGCGATTTCTAACATCACGTTTTACTAAGCAAACACAATCATCCAATTCAAAATCATCGTTAAACAATGGTCACATCGCGAATGAACACAAACGTCACTCAATCCTCACGCAGAAGCTTTTGTTTAAACCTTATAAAAAGAATCCACTTGATCAACTACGTAAACGCTATTCAAATCTACTTGGTTCGCTAATTAATGAAAATATCAAACCGATCGTTGCGACAGCGACGACGACGACTACATCTACGATTGCCAAAAACTCTTCAGTACCGAAAAAAACTTCATCATTGATGATGAATTGGGAATTATTGAAAGATCGTGGATCGGGATTGATTAATCTTGGCAATACATGTTTTATTAACGCTTCGCTACAATGTTTAGCCAATACTCCACCGCTCGTTCAGTGGCTTTTGTCGAACTCTCATCATCAGCATTGTCGAATGAAATTAGAAAAACAGTTTTGTCTGTTTTGCGAAGCTGAACGAATTGTTAAATTAATTCATTCCAAAGCCGCCTATTCGTCGTCATCAATGGGTCCAGCTAACCCGAATAATCTTGTCCGACGAATAAAAGATATATCGAAAACTTTTNTACAATGTTTAGCCAATACTCCACCGCTCGTTCAGTGGCTTTTATCGAACTCTCATCATCAGCATTGTCGAATGAAATTAGAAAAACAGTTTTGTCTGTTTTGCGAAGCTGAACGAATTGTTAAATTAATTCATTCCAAAGCCGCCTATTCGTCGTCATCAATGGGTCCAGCTAACCCGAATAATCTTGTCCGACGAATAAAAGATATATCGAAAACTTTTCGTTTCGGACGTCAAGAAGATGCTAGTGAATTTCTCATTTGTCTTATCGATAAAATCGTCGAAGCTTGCCTTCGTTCGTCTCAGCCGCCTGAACGCTTGCGGCCATCATCCGGTACTTCCTACGACCAATTGTGCCATTCTCAAACGTTTCTTCATGAATTATTCGGTCTCGTTCTTCGTTCGCGTGTTGTCTGCTCGCGTTGTCATCATACATCGGATACATTCGAAGTACAATATACTTGGATTGTTGGTGTGCGGAATCATTCAGATTTAAGGCAATCACTCCACCAGTTTGTCTGTCGTGAAACGTTAGCAGGTGAAAACTTGTATCGGTGTATGAAATGTAAACAGTTAGTACCAGCGATAAAACGGTATACATTACACAAAGCACCGAAAATTTTGCTCATCAATTTTAAACGTTTCGAATTTGGCAAAAACTCACATAAACTATCACATCTCGTTCGTTATCCTGAACACCTTAACGTTAAACCGTATATGAGCGAAGAAAATTGCAATGATCAATCGTTAAATTATCGTTTATATGCTGTTTTGGTACATGTCGGTTCATCAATGCATTCCGGACATTACTATTCTTATGTACGTTCGCCAAATAATCGTTGGTACAAAGCCGATGATTCAACAATGACTCAATGTGATCTAAATCAGGTGTTAACACAACATGGTGCTTATATTTTGTGTTATATCAATGAAACCGAACCAGCAATAGGAAATCATGTGACCAATGGCATCACATCAATGAATAAAACAATCTATCAAAATGGAAAATTGAATAACAGTGAACAAAGAACGACTACAGCAACAACTAATTCGAAGTTTTTCACACCACATTTGTTATGANCAACAATGACTCAATGTGATCTAAATCAGGTGTTAACACAACATGGTGCTTATATTTTGTGTTATATCAATGAAACCGAACCAGCAATAGGAAATCATGTGACCAATGGCATCACATCAATGAATAAAACAATCTATCAAAATGGAAAATTGAATAACAGTGAACAAAGAACGACTACAGCAACAACTAATTCGAAGTTTTTCACACCACATTTGTTATGACATCTATGAAATATATATATTCTTGTCTTTTGATCTTTTGCTTTCTCTCTTTCTACTTTTCTTTCTTTCTGATTTATGTACGTGGTGTGATTTTGTTATTTAGTCAGTTAATAAAAGGTTGTTTTTTCTTAAAACAAACATACCCATTCCAGTGAACGTCACTGGATTAATTATGACAAATTTCGTCACGAAGTGGGACCATAACACTGTATCTATGTTTCACCATCGGTTAATTTGCTCTACAAATAATGTGACAATCAAAAACATTCGTATTCATTGCATACCGTGTAGGTGTTCACTGACAACTGGAAAGAAGAACGACTGATATTCAGAGTTTACTAAGTGAAAATCAAACTTGGATCCAAACGTTTGCGTAACACATTTGTAAAAGTTGACGCGTATCGATATAATGAACCATGTCGGTCAAATTCATTGACGGTTCTTGTTATACATATTATGAGTAAGAAAATAACAGTTATAGAAAACACATTCATGACATTGGAGAGTGCATCGTTGCATTATTGCTACTAAAATTAGTCACTTTAGACTACAACTATTACCTGAATCATTGACGCACATCAGTAATTGCAGTAAATGAGTAACTTCCAACTACGCAAACAGACGCCAGTGTATCTAAAAAGAAATGTCCGTTTTCGCGTATATAAACTGTTGAAATTGGTTCAGTTAGAATCGACTATCATATTTATTTACATTAATACAAATGGGCAATCTGCTTAGACGTGGCAATCCAGCTGGAGGTATCGGTGGGTATCCAGGCGGTAGCTATGGTGGGTACCCTGGTGGTGGATATGGTGGATATCCTGGTGGCGGATATTCTGGTGGTGGATATCCTGGTGGTGGATATTCTGGCGGAGGATACGGTAGAGGTTTATACACCACAACCACTGCTTTCATGCCGCGTGGGCGCGGTAGTGGTGGATGTCGGGGACGTGGTGGTGGTCGACCACGCCGCTACTATTAGCAGGCTGCCAGTACGAAAAGACGATTATTTTCATAAATTTTCATTTTTTATGTTGATTTTGTGTTAAGGAGATGTGAACGATTCATCTCCTTGCTATTACGTGTGGAATATATTTAATATCGCTTCTATACAATATTTATTTGTTTATCTGACTTGAGCGATGGCTGTAATCTTCAAAGAGTAGATTTTATCATAATACGATAAACATCCTAGAGCAACAAACCAAGGTCAAGCTAGATTCGAAGTACTCGATAGTTGTTAACACATATCGTAATATATCATGCCGTTTATTAAAAATCTCAATCATCAAGATTGACTACGCTATACTTTGAAAGTAAGAGTATGAAAGGATATACACAAGGGTCATTTGTTCTGTTGACTAAATACACCAATTCGATCGTTCATTGCAACGAACACATTTCCTTTGGTATTGACAGCTAATGATTCTGGATATTCAATACCACTGGCCATCAGTTGCTGAAATTGTCCGTGATCGTCAAAAAGTACAAGACGATCATTATGTGAATCAGCAATTAACAGGTAATGTGTATCTGGTAATGTAGTAATGCCACGAGGACTTGATAACGGTAAGGAAAAATTTCCTGTCGTTTCACTACCAAAACGTTGTACAAATATACCTTCCAGAGTGAACTTATGAACACACGAACCTAAAAGAAATTCTCAATACAGATGCGTCGTTAAAAAAACAGTACACCAATAGTAACCTTGTGGATCTGTTACGTAAATATGTTCATTAGTGGCAACACAATATGCTAATGAACTGAAGATATTTTTATTCCCAAAAAATCGTACGATATTTCCAGTTTTGTGATCATAAACTTTGATTTGTCGATTTGCTTGATCGCAAACATAAATCAAATCGTTTTTATCTACACAAATACCTTGATAATTCGTTAGGCCTGCATCGATATCATCGCAAGCAATCGTACGTGTCAAACGCAGATCATTATTTAAAATTAACATTTGTAATTCGTCACTCATAACAATTTCGCCATTACTCAAGACAGCTAAACCATTTTTCGTTCCGTAATGACTGATAATTTTGGCAACTTTATTGTCTTCTGTAAACGCAACGACACGTTCATTTTTGGAATCAGCTACGAATAGCAATGAATCCGATGGGCGATAAGCAATGCCACGTGGTTGATCAATAAATGATTTTCCAAACTCCAACGAACCAAGTGAACCGACTGAAACAAATTCTAACTGCGATGAATTTGACATTGGTTGTTCGCTTGTTTCCGAGTACAAAATGTGTTGTCGATAATAATAAGACAACTGAAGGAGAAATTCTCTTCGTATAAATACGATTCAACGAGCCGAGAATGATGTATATCTTGGCATAATGTCTATTCCAGTTAACTAATATATATCACAGCAATATGATATATACGTCATTCGATGTGTATATAGAAGAAACTGGAAGAATAACAATCATAAATGAGAATTTTGCATCAGAAATAGATTGTTTTTATAGAGACAAATGGCTTTCTATTTCGATAATCGTATCGTGAATAGTACACTTGATGAATATAAACAAATCTATTTAGAAATAAAAACAAAATAAAAAGAAGAACCATGACTGAAAGTAATTAATATATAGGATACTAGATCGAATTTCGCAATTTTATCTCCATCGAATACTTTCATATTTTCGGCGATCTGATTGAATAGTAGGACACATTCTCTTGGAATAGCACAATGATTCACATAGGTTTTGGAAGTATCAATACCAAATGACCTCGACACACAATCAGATTTTCATTTCGATTGTTTGCTGGTTGGCGTGATGGTGCTTTCTTGATTAACTGAATAGTGGCGTTGAAATAGAAGAATCTCACTCACTAAAGTCTGTCTAAAGACACTGTAAGTTGAAGAACTTAAGTCGGAGATGATTTTCTTTAATATAATAAATAACAACTTATATACTAAATAAAACTTGAACGCAACGGAGGCTAGCTATTTCATGATACTCTGTCTCGTTCAGCCTACTTTTTCAGTCAATGATGTCTTCACTAAAGTGATCCACGATGATCATGTCGACATTCCATTCTAAGAAAACGAAGCGATATCAAATATAAAATCATTTTATTTTGTTGAAGGGTGAGTGAAAATCAAAATGTTCTGGTCGAAATTAATAGAACTTGTCAAGTTTCACTTGGATGGGATGAGGGTACATATCTGATTCAACTCGCGCCTATAAGGTTTCCTACGTTTGAGTTTGCTCTCGCATTTCTTTGTTGATCAGCAAAAGTGCCGTGATCATCAACACATACTGTTATGGAATCAATCCTTATTAATGAAACATGAACAAATATAATGGATTTCTAATGTGAAAATTTGGACTACTGCTCACGTCTTGATTACATGTTTCGTTGTCGCAATGCATCATGACGTCATTATCTTTCGAGATGTATACGAAAGTCGAGGAAATTTGACTGGTTAGGCATGTACGAGCTGGATCGATATTCATTGATGATTCTCGTATTGAAAAGTGAAGTGAGGTTGATATTCGTATATGTATATTTTGCTTTTCTTCACACAGGCCTGAATTTATTCAACAGCAGCTACACATTGACTTATATCAATTCCTTCTGTTGGTTAATCGAAGCTTCACTGCTGTGGAATATTTCGTGTACTCGGTAGGTCTTACCCTAGTGTATCATTCGCTTTATATGAACTCAGTCATCACGAAATTACCTTTGTTTATTATGATGCGTTACATGGAAACTCATCCTGAACACTATGTCAATACAGTTCAAATTATATTCGTCAATGAAGTTTGTGGTCGACCTTCGCAATTCTATTTTTCGCCGATACATGAGAAAAGTTGAATGCCTTTTCCGGTTGTATTAATGTTCTACAACTAAATAAAACATGGTTCTCGTATTTATACTCTGGTTTTCGACTGAGGAAACCGAGATAGTGAAATACTGAACATATGGTTACTACAGCTTCAAAGAGTCTTACGTATCTGTTGATCAAGCTGTCTTAACGAACGAAAATAGAAATAGTGAACAGAATCTATGCTGAATGTAACAATAGATGTGTGCTGAGATCTACCCGCGCCCATTTTCATATAGGTGACAATTTTTAGCTTAACAATGGAAAGTATTGTATTCGAAAGTGACTACAAGCGTGTGTATCTTAAAACATGGAAATTGATATGGATAGTGTATTTTGTAAATGCAAAATATAATATGAATGAAAATTTGACGTATACCATCACCCTTGTTGTTATGTATTAGTTTTAAAGCGAGAAGAACAATTGTTCCTATGAGAGAAAAGCCTATTTCATACACACACACACACACACACAATTTGCGCTGAAAAATGAAATGCGATAATGTAAAGAGAACATCCGTTCAGAAAGTCTAAAATATCTTTATCAAGTCATCAGTATGGCAATTTCACCGAAGATCAGATCTCATTGCCGATTTAATAAGTGGGTTCCTGTCGCGTGACTGTTGTCGTCGTCGTGGTTGTTTCGGTATGTTGACCACGTAGACCAGTGCGCATCAGCCGAAATCGATTCAGTCCATCAGCAAGATAAGCAATGAAAGCTGCGAAACCGAAAAACTACGAAATAAGATCAACAAATATTTATTCAGTGATTTGTCTCATTGCTATACCGCTGCAGCTCCAAAAACGCCACTATTTGACGCAATTGTTGCTATAACAATACTCGCAATAAAGTAGAGCAGTGCAATAAAGCCACACCAGAACATTTCCTACGATGAAATTGAAAAAAAAATGATCGTCATACATTTGTTTATGGATAAAACAAGATAAATTTACGATCATAGGCCAACGTTCAGGTATACAAACAGCTTGAAGATTAATCAAAGACAACACTAACAGAAATGCTGTTCCGACAGTTGCTAAGATAGCAACAAAAACAAAGAATCCTTTGTGACCAGTGTAAGTGAGTGTTGGTGCAGCAGCACCTAAGATAATGGAAAGGATATCGCATGCCTAAAGTAAACATATAAGACGCAAAAAAGAAACGAATCGATGCTATTTACGAATTGAATGATTTTTAATATACCAGGTAATGTCCGAAGATAATTTATTTGGCATGTAATTCGCAAAGGTCGTGCCTCACTTGACATAGTGCAAGTATTTCTGGAATGTAAATCTACAAACGAATAGCGTAAATCATCGTTTTGATATAGTCGCGTATCATTCTTTTAACAAAAATCAATAGAACATGAGTTTATTTGTCAAATAACTGCCGATCGATCGAACGAACGATTCAAACAGTACAAAATCATTGTTCATCGGAGTACAGTGATCAACAAGTAAGTGTGTATATCTCTTTCTTCTTACTCTGAGCAACGACAAAACGTCACGTTACCTTGAATAAATACAATCGTGTCTGTATATACATAACAAGTAGCGAATCAATACACCTATCATCAAATAAAACCTACCGAAAAGGGTACCAGACGGAAACAGTGCTAGCAATTGATATGACGTACTATTTTACGCTACTCATAAATGAATAAATCATTTGACTACAACTAAATATGAATCATTTTTAGAAAAAAAAAATCCAATTGGTTTCAGGGCACCAATTGAATAGAACGTGGTACGGTAAAATACTAACACCTTCTATGCGTTGTCTTTTACTACACGTACGCGTCGTAGAAAAGGAATGCAAATTTCCGTGAGTAGTAGAACGACACAATCAATGTGACTATATACTTTTTTATTTTCAGTTCGATTTCATCTTGATAAGCATCAATATCCTCGAGACATAGACGAGCACGTGGAAGTCCTTTCGATCAATGATAAGATGGAAGATCTTCTTAATTATGACTCATTAAAGCATGCCTTAGATGTTAAGATGTCAATGAATCGTTAGCAGATGTGAGATGAAACAATCTGCCTATCGAAATTGCCAATAAATTCTTTATTTGCATTAGAATATATATATTCGGAAAATTTCTTCTAATGAATGATGAATGTCTGCGACTGTTGATGAACTTTTTCAAAGGAAACAATTTGCTTGAAACTTGTTATTCATTTGCATATAGATAATATTGGAGAAGAAAGAGACGACGATTGGATTTATTTTGCATTAGTGTCGTCTTCAACTGTCTTTCTCTCTCTCTCCCTTGGCTTCTTCTTCAATCGAATCAGTGAATGTGCTGACTAAATAATAAAGAATTAACATTTTTCCCTCCGATGAGATGAATAAGGGGGAGAAGAGGAGGAGAAAGATAAATTGTTCTTTGTTAGTTTAGTAGTCATATGAAAAAAAAGAGAAGACAGAGAGTTCTGCAGGAAAATATTTATCATCATTCAATGCATTGATGTCGATGTTTCCTGCAGTTAGTTCGGAAAGAATGATGATCAAATATTGATGAATGACAACTGCGATTTTCCCTCTCTGTCTCTCCCGCTCTTCCTCTTGTCTACTATTCATTTACATTTAAGAACATGGCACGTAAATTTTGCGGAAAAACATCTTGCTTTGTTCCTATTCGATGTCAATCAGTTTGTATCTTTTCTTCCACACACACACACCATAATTTACTTGTCCACAATTTCTATTAAATTGTGCCTCTCTTCTCATACTCGAGAACGGAAGATGTTTCTCGATCTTTTTTTCCTTGTCTTCATGTTCATTACTTGCGGTTCCATTCATCCAATCATCTATCTATGTTATACCCGCTAACTTTTTTTCTTTGTTCAAGGTTGCCGAGCGAAAAAGAGTTCTCGATAGCAGCAAAAAAGAGAGAGAGAGAGGGGGAGATAGAGAAAGAAGAAAACAGCTCGAGTCGAAATAGCCCGGCAATGCATTTTCTGCGTTCTCATCAGCAGCTTCATAGATAGATAGAAAATATAATCTATCAACGCACACACACGCACATAGACACATCAGCATTTCGCATCATTGTATAGCTTCTTCATCGTTCTTTTCTACGAGGCAATGAAAAAAAAAAGAAATGAGACACGGAATAGACAAAAAATATTGTGGTCCTAATACCGACGAACACTCGACAGACAAGAGAGAACGGATAAAAATTGGTAAAAAAAACGAACGAGAGAAAAAGAGAAGCAAAAGCGTTTTTTCTAGTACATACATAGATGCGAATGTCCACGGCACACTATTTTCTTTTCCTCTGTGTCTCTCTCATTTTTTGTGCTTGACAAACGTTCTCGTCTGTCTTCGTTTTTTTTCCCCTTTACTACTCTACCATCTGTTGCATATGTAGAAGCAGAGAAAAAGGAGAAGAACGGGAGAAAAAAACGACCGACTAGCAACAACAAGGCAAAGTAATATCACATCCATCGAAATTGCTTTCTCTCGCTCCCGTACTATATTCTCGTGCTACCGAGTTGATTAAAGACACTAGTATGAAGTGATGGAATCACTGCTACTCAGAGAGAAATGTTTGTAACGACCATCTTTTCAACTAATGATGAAGACCACAAAGAAAAGGTAAAGAATGTTAACTAAAGATCAACGAGAGTTATATCCTCTTTTTTTGTTTCAGTAATAGTCAAGCAAAAGAAATAACGGTCGGCAACGATCGGAAACAAATGAGAGTTCATCTCAAGAGACTAAAAGGAAGCAAGCAAGCACATTTTTTATTCTTTACCATCATCATTCGTCGTTAGATTCGTATATATATATGTGTGTGTGTGCTCGCGTCGATCACACGTTGTGTTGTCGACATTGTCGTTTTTTTATTAGATAAGTGACATGCGAACATAGAATAGTGGGTGTCGGTAATATTGTATCCTGCTGTTAGAGTATATTCAACGAGGTAGAAATGAATCTGATCGCTCCCTTATTTGTCTTGATAGTTTCTATTCGATAAGTGTGTTTAAGCAAAAAACGAGAAAAAAAGAAAGCTCTCTTCTCTTCTCATATATATATACATATCATTGTGTATATATAGAAAAGAAACTATTGAAAAAGGCAATTAATAAGAAGAGTGGTAGTCGTCTATGAAGTCAAAAGTATTTTTTTCTAGTCGAGTAAATATCTATGTCGTGGATGGTTAGTTATGTGAGCTCTTCTTGAGTGGTAAAACCAAATATCTGCGATCGGATTCGATCGTTGGCATAAATCAGGAAAACGAATTTCGCTGATGACACACACACGCATACATCTACTCATCTTGTCTACGCTCGCGGCCTCGAACTGCAATTAAAACTCATTTTTTCCTCTTTCTTTCTATACATGCATACTCTCTTTATTCGACAAGGTTGAACTCTTCTCTTCTCCATGCACGTATGAGTCAGTCGACTCAAATGATAATACTCCATGTGCAAGTGTGTGTATGGATATATGTATGCACTCGTCGACTATTTTTGTTCGTTTCTTCTAGTATAGATATATATATATGAACGTACATAGTCGTTCATTCATCAACAACAGTTTCTTTCTTTCTTTCTCTCTCGTTTTTCTCTTCTCATGCTTACTTGATGTACAATTCGTCGACATATGAGCAGTAAGTTATACATCTGAATGGAAATGTCAAGTAAGGTCAGATGGTTTTGTTTCTTCCTTTGTTTTATTTCGCAGAATTATATTTCAATCATCATAATTATTATTATTGTTCGTATGGATTCTATTTATTGTGTTTCCTAGCAATCCGAGTTTTTTTTTCGCTATGGACTATTGAAATTGTTTTTGCACGCATCTATGTATACACATGGACATTAATGATTGTCTTTACCTGATGGGTCTTCAACACCTCGTTAATCTTTGTCACAAATCGATTTTCTTCTTTTGGACGGAGGTTTGACGAGGAATTGAGGCTGATCAATGCGACGAAATCTTGCCGCACACTGTGCTTCACTTTCTTTCTTGCCAGATAGTGCATCAAAATATATCAAATATCACATGTTTTCGTTTCGTATCCGATGGAATAATCTGCACGTGAAGTTCAGCTTTCTTTTTTGACAGAGATTTCAGAATTCGTGCGTGAGCCAAGAATGTAAATCGACAATAATGTGAAAGAGCTTTTAAGTGATAATTGTCTTGAAGAGATAAACAAAGTCGTTCCACGAAGACATACGAATCTATTTTTCTGATATAATTAGATCAAACCGAGATCAACCTCGAATTATCGGAATATAAAGAAATGAATAAGAGATTTTTCTATGTCAACAATGAAAAATTACTTCTTGTAGGTTATTTCGCCATTTGCAGTCTGGAACGTGTTAAAAGATCTTGTTTTATCGATTACAGGCTTTTGACAGTGAAAAATGACAAATGAGAAGAATAAAACTGTGTTTGCCGACGATTAACAGTCTTTATTCGTGTTATAAACGAGAGCACAATTCCTTTCAGCCATGTCATCTACTTGTGGGTAGCGAAAACATCTCAGAGATGCTTTGAATAATAACGATCTTGAACTAAACAATGATATCTTGCTTATTCCCTTTTTTTATTAGTATGGCAAGAGAAAAATGGAAAAGTTTCTTGTCGAGTTTAAAAAGATGTTTCATAATATGAATTTATTGATTGCTTGACACTGGTTGCTGTTGAGCATCACCATCACCTGGTACAGCGCTTGCATTTGAATCTGCAACCGGAGCCGAGGTAGTTTCTGGTTCTTGGACAGTTCCAGATTCGACAGCAGGAGCCGGCTCAGGTACAGGTGCTGATTCTTGAGTAGCGGCAGGTTCGGTAGTAGGAACATCAGCAGCATTGTCCGAAGAAGAAGCAACATCATCAGCTTTGACTGATGTAACGAAAATGCACACTAAAGCGCAGATCAAGATTGTCGTGAAACGCATCGCTCGTCTAACAAATGAAAATAAATAAAACCGACACACGAACAGATACGCTCTATATATACACGGTTTCAGTTTGATCACATAAGGTGTAAATAAGACCATAAGAAACAAAGGAGCAGCTGTGGCATCGGAATCAAATGACATTCTTTAATTCTCTTAATGAATACTATAATTCTTTTGTATCAATATTTCGATGAATAGATACGACTGTCACGCGTCCGGTCATGTCTAGAGAAGCCGGACATTTAGCGACACATATGTCGTTAATACTCTCGAGGAACAAAGTCGAATGAGTCAATGAACTCTCTAAAAATAACCGAGCATGTACTTTTAAAAGAGTAGGTTATTTTTAATGTGTAGATGAGAATGTCAAAATGGACGTTCGAGTTATGCGCATTCTCTATTACAGTTGATACGTACGGATAGAAGCAAAGCGTGAAATAACTTTCATGCAATACATCTTATGTATATTACTTCTAAATGGATTTTCCGTTGAAAACTAACAAAATACTTCGATGATACAATGAAGAAAAAGAATATTATTGTTTTGTTTATCACAACCGTTAATCATCATGCTAAACATTAAAAAAAACCAAACTTGGAAAGTATTTGTCAATGTATTGACGGTTTTGCTTCGTCGTATGATGAAGAAATCGATTTCGAATGTTGATTATCTCGTAATCGCATATTATCGCTGCGTAAATCGTTGATACGATTTTGTAAATGTCGAATAAGTTTATCTTGATTTATCTCATTTTCAGAATTAAATTCACAGTCAATCTTTTCCGGTTCGTCAATATGAAGACTCGGCGTCGCTCGCTGTTTGGATAAACTGAAATGATAGACCGTAGAGAGAAAAATTTTACCTAACATAACTTCAATATACCGATTCAATTCCAAGCCGATATGATCTTCTAACTTTTGCAGCAAACTATCAACTGTATGACTTGGTCGAGTCGATGTTTGAGATGTAGGATGAACACTATTATCCTAAACATGGGTCAAACGATGATGCGGAGATGACACGGAAACTCATTGGTTTTACTTTTGAAGATTTCGAGTAGCTATTGGTTTGATCCTGACAACTGTTTTCATCGAACGATCGAAGTCTTCGATCCGTGCAGATTTTCGGCTTTTCTAAGAGCATGGTTTGATTTTCAACTGTGACTCGTTGTTTACTAACGTGATCACGGATTTCTTCGACAGTTCTGAGCAGATATTTCTATTCGAGACAAGAATATCTGTGAGAGATTAAAGCAATTTGGCAATATACCAGAAGTATTCGCGTTGGTTTTCGTTCGAAAAGAGCAGTTTCGTCGTAGATAAACGATGACACGTTCCTAAACAAACCATCACTATATCGAACAAGATCAACTCTCTTCATACGGAATTGCTGTATAAACATGCGAGGGTCGATTCATCGTCAAAAGTAATGTTTTGATCGCATCGTTTATCGAACGCACGCATGTTTTTTCAGCTATATCCAAACTATTATATAATTGTCGACGAACGGTATTTGAATCATTATAAACATCCGATAAGTGATTTACTGTTTGTTCTAATTCCTGAACACGTTCTTGCAAACGAGTCAACTCCATATTTTTCTCCTAAAGAAAACATTGAAAAAGTGTTTGCATAACGTTGTCAACAAGGTTAATTATCAATGTTCAATCTCAACAAGATATTTGAAAACAAGGTCAAAAGATCGTACTTAGCATCTTGTACATCTTAAACAAAACAATCAAATCAAACAAAGTCATTCAATGATAAACTTATTCAATCCAATCGTCAAACCCGAAGGAATATTCAATTTCATCTCTGTAACTTTCTTCTCTTACATACCGTTTGATACTGTTCGTTCAAGCGTATGATTTCATTTTCGTATTCCTGTCGATATTGTACTTTAATCCGATAAATCGCGTTGGTACGTTCACGATCGCTTTCTTTCAATTGCTGGAAAATAAAGCGATAGTGTCTTCCGACGGATTTCACGTTCGAAAGGGTTACCAGCTCCAGCTGTTGGCAACGTTCGCGTTCAATATGCAATTTGTATTGAAAATCTTGTATGAGAAAGGCTTTTTCCTCTTCAAACTTTGCGCGTTCGTCGGATAAACGAAGTTCTTTATGTTCATTCCAAGCCTTTCGTTCACATTCCATTCGTTCTTCGATCTATTAAGGAGAATCACGTTGTCTCTGAATCGAGAAAGAAGATTTCGTTACTTTCAACAGAGCATTTTTATGTGTTGTGGCTAAAGCAAGAAATTCGTTGTCTTTTTGATAAATAATCGCTTTTAGTTTAGCGATTTCACGATTTTTCGTCTGAAGAAAATCATGCAAAACATTCAATCATCTCGACAAGTCTCATACCAGCGTATTTCGATACGAATTTATGTTTGAACGACGAGATCCGTTAGGCATATACTGTCAAATCAGAATATGAACAAACGGGATAGTATGATGACGAAAGACTTACCGACGGTTCCTCATTTTGCGGACAGAAGTCATTTATTTCATTTCTAATTCATTTGCACACAATATCCCAAATCAATCATCACTTTCTGTTCCTTACCTGTCTTTGACCTTCGTGTAACTATTTTGTTTCATCAGATTTTCCAGCGCTCGGAAGTTCTCTTCATAAGTACACCGTCTTTGATTATATCGATCATTCAGCATGTTTCTTCTTATCACAACTCACAAATGTGAAGAGATCGTTATTTGTAACAATCGAGAGAATGTCAGTGAAGTGAAGCTCTAGTAGATGAGTCAAGGCAAGATGCAGAGAAAGAAACGAGTATAATTCGATCTATTGATCCATGTCTATGTTTTATTATGAGTTGATTTTTTCAGAACACACAATGCGAAATGAAGAGAAAAAAAGAAGAAGAAAACCGAGAGACAAATTATGTTATCGGACACATCTACACACAGAGAAAAAAAACAATGGAATTCATCACCGTTAAAGAGAAAGAAGAAAAACAAACAAACAAACAGAGAGAGAGAGAAGGATTCTATTTGAATGTAACTCGTTGGCCAGCTGCTGGTGAAGCCGTGGCCACATCCGAATAAGCTCGTCCACGCATTTCCTCCCCATCGTCGATACTTGTACGATAAATACTCATGCCACCGAAATGTGTCGTTTCATTATGACTGCCAGTACTATCTTCGGGAGTTTTCGTTGGATCATGATCATGTTTGTCTCCTCCACCGCTTAGAATGTTGCTTATCGCGCCTCCAACACCACCTGAGTTCGTTCCGCCATGACGTTGAAATGCTTGCATGGAAAATCGTCGATTTTTCCGTCGTTGTCCATGTCGTTTTGTCAAATGTGGATTGTCTTTACGCATTGTTTTCGTTTTTAACACATGTAACGATGAATACAAACGTTTTAATTCCGCCTGAAAATAAGAAAAAAATATTTGAAAAACGCTCAAACAAACAGAAAAGCTCCTACTCGAATTTCTTCCGGATCCATATCTCGTATATTCAATTCTCCAAATTCAATATCCCCGTTGGATTGTAATTTAGCGACGATATCACCTGGCTCTACTCCATCGGGCAATGAACGGAAACGATCTCGAGAAGTATATTCTTCCGTTGCCTTTCGAAACATGAAGCACAACTAAATCAAACAGAATTCAACCATTACGCCACACCTCCCCATTCGCTTCGCTTACTTTAGTACAAAAAATAAATAAAACCATACATGTAACGGTTAAATGACATCGAAAGAAGGATAATATAAGAAATGTATCCGGATCGATCGATGCCCATAGACAATCTCTAGAATAAACAAAACAATGCTAGATTCTTCAAATATCAATTATCTCTTTTGTTTACTTACTTAATAGTGTGGAGTAATGTCGAGAAAAGCATTTCACAAACAACAACAATAGTAATTAATTTACGCTCATGGTATTCACACGGTGCTGTACGAGTACTATAGATAAAACGGATACCCACACAAAGGAAAATAAATTCCGCTAAAAAGAAACAAACATTGCTAATTATATGTACGATTGTTTAGTCAACAAACCTATTTGCGCAAGATAATCCCACGAACGTGGTCGACATGTTTGAAAGTTTCGTTTATTTCGAAAGGTAGAACCATGTCCAAGCAAATATTCCCGCAAGGGCAGATTCTCATTGGCATGATCAATATTAACAAATGTCCATCCGAGTAAATAACCCATAATCGAGATTGAAATGAAAAATAATATGCGCAAAATATCTTTCTCTTTGACTTGAACACAATGTGCTTTTCGAGATTGAAATTCAGCCAGCATTCTAAATCAAAGTAGCCAGAGAGATCAATTGAGAAAAGAACCGTGCCGTGAAACTCACTTGTAAATACGTAAAATTAATGTGCCATAAACAATTGTAAAGCCAAGTTCACGGAGCCTACAGAGAGAATTTCGAGAATAAATCATCGGCGTCCATTGACAAAAAAACTAATCGAAATGCTATTACTAATCGTTAAGAATTTATTCAAGCGATGATCTTTTCCTTGCCATAAGATATATTTCGAAATTATTTAGTGGCTAAGAAAATTGATTTCCTACTTATAATGTAGATGATGATGGTTTTCACTCGATTGGATGATTAATAGATCGTACGACCTTCTCGATTTTTTTTCTCTTCTTCTTCAATGCAGTTAAACGTTTTTCACACGAGAAAAGACTTCTTCTTCTTCTTTTCTAATAACTATCATTTATCTTTCTCACTAGGAGATCGTTCTTTCTCACATACCATGGCATTATTAAACAAACGATTCCATACGGGCCAAGACTATCAACAATAACCTAAAGAACAAAGGAAAAATAAACTAGAAGGACACGCGAAAGAACTTCGTTGTCTCTTACTGAAGCGTAGAGTAACGCTGCGCCGAAGAGAACTAATTCTAACAGAATCCACATTGAATGTTTGATGATTTTAATTTTACGTTTTCGAAAAACAATGCCAGCGAGTATAGCAACAAAAACAATGAATGCTGATTGAATTATAATAATTATCGTACGTAAAAATCGATTATATTTAACTAAACATGATTGTGGATTACATTTACATGTATTGCCAGTTTGTCCTAAAGGATTATCTTGTATTGTTTCGTTCCATTCCAAATGTTGACCCTCAATTGTCTTGGATAGATTATTATATGGACCTTGACAGAAACATTTATAGGCACCTAAGGTAAACCCTTGACCAGGTTGATGTATACACTAAGCGAAAGTTCATCGTGTGCATGATCGATTAGAAGAAGTTTTCAGTTTTACCTCCATATCCAATGGACATTTATGCGTGCCACCAAATGGTACATCACTTGTCTCACATTGATTGATATCAACGGATGATATATTGAAATAAGCGATAAGAAAATATCTAGAAGAAATTCGAGCTGTCGAAATCTCATCCTATCAATTCTAGTCACATACCCATTGGTAAGAGAATGAATATTTGCCATGAGATATGTTTCATTGGGATTTTTCTCACATAGGACAGGTCCTATCCACCAAAGATGATTGGTTAGAAGACGTTGGGAATCATATTTTAAGGTTTCACGAACATTTGTCATAGTAAACGTTTGCAAAATAGTATCTTGTCGAGTTAGATCTTCATTGACTAGACCATAACCTAATTCTGTTGTCGGACGAGAATATTTCAAAACATCGGAACCCCCATTATCATTTGGTAATGTGCGTATATCGAGTTCATTAAAATATTTTCGACTAGCTAATAACATGCGCAGATCAGTGCGAAAGTCATCACGAATCTTGTCTAGTGAGTAATCAGTGAAGTAGCTCGCGGTTTGATTGAATTTCATGCGAATTTTATCAACAGTTCGTTTGATTTCAACGAGTTCGCTTTGAAATGTTCGTTCAACGAGACGTATAATCAATGCTGACAAGGAATTATCTGATGGTATTTGATAAATACCATCTGAGGCCATATTGATTGTACAATCAGGTAATACGGATGACGTCGAACGTTGTAGTAATTGACGTAACATATCGGTATTATGATGTTTATCAATTGCATGTGACGTTTGTCTCTTCAAACGCTGATGATGAGTTGTGATTGGAGAGGAGGATTTCGTATGAAAGAATATAAAAAAACTTAGCAGAAATATGAGAAGAAAGAGAATTAGATAGAAATAGATTGATAGAAAATGAAATATTGACGATTGTTTGGACTTTGAATTGAACATGAAATTAGGTTTAACTTGAAGATATGACGAGGAGAAATAATCTGATTCTTCTTTTGGTTTCATGATTAGATTTTGAAGCTAAAAAACAAAGAAACGAACGATATATAATTAACAAAGAAAAACATCGAGCATTAAACGAGAATGATAGATAAACATAAACAAACAGAGAAGGCGGCGAAAAAAAGAAAACGCCGGTAAAGGCTTATTCACAATCGCCTCGTTCAGACGTCGACAAACAGCTAATTTGTTCGAATCGCGAAGCTGTTCGGATTGTTCTCGGAGCAAACTCGTCACGTTTTCTTCAGTTTTTAATCGAAAGACAAACTCATCTCATGTATTGACATCCTTTTTCTTTCCTTCTTCTCGTTGTCTTATCATCTAGACTATACTATCTTAACTATCTTATACGGAACTACTCAATGGCGTTGTTGTCGTCGTCGTCATCATCATCTAAAAGAGACTAAATCTGTTCTATCTTGCTCGCCTCTCCCTCTCTTTTTCTTGTCGATAGTCGAGCGAATGCGCAAGCAGACTTGTATGTTCGCTACAGCTCGTTCGCTCTCGCTCGATAATTGATCATTTGTTTTTTGACATCCACTAGGTTCTTCCTTCTCGATATAATCACTGAATTGAATGTCGTTGGACTGACTTTGCTTGATCTACGAGTTACGCTCATGCACGTCCAAGTAATGAATATCTCATCGTCGATTTTTTTTTTCATCGTCAAAAAATTCATTATGCTCGACAGAGATAACACATGTTTTCCTTTCTTCGATTGAATTGTCTTCGGCTTTGTCAGATATATGTATGCGGATAAAGGACATTCTCATTATGTACGATTGGTTTCGCCAATTGAGAAGATATGTCCACAAGCAATCAGTGACCATATGTCTGTTGAGAAAGAATTAAATATAAAGAATATATATATTAGCCGACAGATATGATATAATCAACAAATATAGCTTTGAGGATAATACGTGTAAAATGACAGAGCAAATGTTGGTAATAAAAATGCGGCAAAAAATGAATAGTAATAGCTAAGAACTAGTGAAATCTAAGACGGTAATGAAGATGCGGATGTCTAGAGGCACATAAAATAATCATGAACTATCTCTCTGTCTTATTCTCTTTCCTTCGTCTCTGTATATGCCTTGTACGTTTTCATTTCAATNGGGGGGGGGGATGGTTGGCAATATATTGATGATTCTGATGATATTTACAAATGTTGACATGAAATAGATATGTACTAATTATAATTCGATGAGAAATTTCTTTTCCGTCAATTATGACGATGAGAAGACATTGATGATAATCAAGGAAAAAACATTAAAGATGGAATTAGAAATGAAAGATTTTCTCCGGTATACATCATGCGGAACAATTATTGGCAAATACGTGGAATTTCACTTCAATTACGGACGGACGCCAAATGGTTTCTTTTTCTTCTCTCGCACGAAGACAATAGAGACAGGAATTCGACGATTTGTTCACGGCAATTTCGATACGACCGGCCGATGCATATCGGCAAAGCTGGTCGAATAACCAACATGAGAACATTTCATTCCGGGTCAATAACTATGTTACATATTTGCATTGCCGAGAACTTGATTAATCACACATTTCCTTCGATTTTCAACTACGTTTTAGATCAATTCCTCGCTCGTCTATCGGTCTCGAATGAGATCATTTGATTTCCTGTCCTACTCGAACAATCAAACTCAGATAACAAAGCATTGTTGATTTTTACCGTTGACGTAAATAAAGATCTTCTTTCAGCGGAAACTGACATATATAATATTCATTTTTTTATCTCCTACATAATCATTAATCATGTTGAATCTTACTTGCAAATCATTGAGTTTTGCGTGGAGAAAATAGTTAATTAATACAATCGAATATACTGAAGTCAAATTAAAGATTCCTAAACATCCGTATGGATTCAATAGTCATCGTATGCATTCAAACGAGATATCGAAGTGAAGGAAGAGCACTTCTTGAAGCAATGACTTTTCTGAACCGGAAGATAATGCTAATTAGAAGATGTTCATGGCACTAAAACCTATCGGAAATTTCCTCTCTTTGGTAGAACGCGTGTAATCACTTCGATTTTATTTCAAAATAGAGTAAAATATTCAGTTCGCGAATAAAAATCATAAGAAAACGAAAAAGACAAGTAGTATAGAAGGATCTATCCTGTAGGGAATGAACAATTTGTTTATTTCTCTGATTTTGGTCGTCGTGGATCTTTTCGTTCGCCTTCACTATCCGATGCACCCGATCGTCTGTCTTCATTTCGTGGCGGACTAGCTTCACGCATATACTCTGATGTTAGGTTTTTGAATCGATACAAATCCTCAGAGTTTTTATCATTGTAATGTACAAGATTCGTTGTTGCAAAACCGTAACTTCGTTTGGCTTTTCCTCCTTGTGCAGCCAACGCTAGAGCTGGAGATGGAGGTGGTGGTGATGCGGCAGCAGCCTCGCTTGTCGACGAACCTTGGCCAGTGATTAAGCGTGACATTCGAGAGAATAGCGAAGTAGTTCCAGCTGGTTTTGCTGCCATTTTTCGACTTCTCGATGAAGCAACATGTGACTGTAATTCGCTACTAGCTTTATCCCAACGGCTAATTAGATAAAGAAAAAAGAAAACTTGAAACTATTTGTAAAGAAAAAGGGTTATCTACTTTTCATTGAAGTCATCGCGTGCTTCATATTCTTTATGAGCATGTTTCATTCGATTAAGATTACTCATATAGTTCATACGTTGTTTTTGCATGATAGGTTTCGACCATTTCGAACGAACACGTGATGCGTCGCCTTCGTCTTCATCATCGTCGTAATCCACCCTAAACGAGAAGATCATTGTTGGGAACATCGAACAATACTCTTTCTATTTCGTGAACTTACATCATCTCTGCTGCGGTATTTCGAATATGATTTTGTGCGATAACACCACGATAGGCATTAACTTCCGCTACTTCTCGATTTTCAGTCGTTTCTTTCAATTGTGTCAGAACACGTAGAGCTTTGCTACCATCAACAGCTGTATAGACAACTTGTACTTGAAATGGTAGTTGTTTCAATTCGTCAAGATCCATATTCCATTTGTCTTTCAACTCTAAATGAACAGTGTACCATTGAAAACCGAGAGTTGTCTCGTATTGTAGATGAATTTACCTTGTTTGCTGCGTATACCGAATTCAAATGTGACTTCTGTTTGTTTAGTTACATTACCAATCTCACGTTTAACAGTTTCGAGCTTGTCATCGGGATTATCAGGATTGCGTATATACAAACCGCGATGAACAATTAAAGTTGCTTCGACATTGGTGGCGATAATTTTTTGTTCGAGTATAGAAGCAAATTCATCACGAATATTCAACAAATCAACGATTGTGACATTGCCACTTGTACCATCAGCCTGTAAATCAAGTCGATAAAGTCGAGATTATCAAAAGAAAGAAACGAGAAGAAAGCTTATTTTACCATTTGTCCGACCACCGGAAGTAGACATGCAGTACCTAGAGAGAATAAAATGATCTTTATTAAATGCCTTTCATAAGTTATCCATTACCTTTGATTGTAATTACAGAAATGCTGACTCCTTTTTCTCGCGCACGTTCAGTTACTAAACAAAATGAACTTATGGTTAGCTCATACGAACAAGTCCGTCTTACATCCAGCGTAGAATTGATTTCCTTCGGAGAGTGCTTGCATTTTAACTTCTTGATCGATTTTTTCATCTTGGGCTGTTTCTAAACTACCTAAACCTCGATTGGCCAAGCCTAGGAAAAAAGAATCCAAAGATTATTTCACAGCAATACAAGTGAGAACACACCGTCGGTGCAAATAACAATTTTTGATCCTTGCCGTTTTGATGCAATATTCAGAGCGAAGAGAACAGCTGGACCAAGAGCTGTTTGTCCACCTTCTTCAAGATCGTACACACGCTGAGTTAAATTCGTTTTCGTCTCTGACACAGGTTTCAATTCATTATTTTGTTCCTGTTCGGCTTCACGTGTTAAATCATCTGCACTATTTAATTTATCTCCGCGAATGACTAATGGTTCAGCGCGTGTGCCATCACCTAAAATTCAATACGAACATGATTAATCATCTTCGCACGAAGAGAAATTATAAACGTACCATAATACGTTATTTCATGATTAAATGTTAGCAAAGCTGCACGTCTTGTGGGCGTATCTTTTGCAAGTTTGTCTAAATTTGCATCGACCGCCATTTGTACGCCCTGCAAGCGTGAAACATATGTTTGATGACGATCGCGAACCATTCGTTCACCATCAAAGTTAGCGGCAGCACGGTCTTGTAGTTGTGCTGCATTGGGTAGTCGGAATGTTCCTGGCACTGTTGTTGTTGATGACATCGAACCACTGATGTCAACAACGAAAATCACAATCGAATCGTCCACACCAGTCATATCAGAACCATGGACAACAGGTGCTGGCGATATTAAATATGTGGCATCCTCTTTTTTGGGCAAATCTGTTTGTTCGATATCGACTGTATTTGATTTTGAACAGAATTCGCATTGCCATGTGGCATCTTGGTTTTCTTCCGTTCGGACTTTGCTCAAATGTGAAGCAATGGCATGGCAATCTGCGCAATAGACCGGATCACCAGCATGCATCTCGCCTGAAGGGAAAGATACAATGAAACACCCAATTGCTTTACACTGAATTCGCATGAATATCTACCTGGTTGAAGTAATTGATTGAATTTAACATTTAAAACATTTGTGTCAGCTTTTCGCAAACGCTTCTTTCGTTTTGCATGGCTTATTGCAGCAGCGGCAGCTCCTGCTTCTTTGGAATCACTAGAAGAAAACACGTTATTTTTCTATCAGAGCTTCAAGACTATCGATACCTGGTCAAGGCTAAGGATGGTGCTGCTGGAGGTTGAACGATCATACGATCGTCTTCATCATCTGATATTGACTCATCTGAGGAATGCTCATATTTATAAACATATTTCGATCCGAAATCCATAGTAAGTATGTTTTCGTCAAAGCAAAAATAAAACCTCTGCTAGCTTTACTTGTTGCA